TGTAATTAATTTATTAGACCACTAAGTGCATATTACATAGTGTTCCTCTAAGGCGCCATGCAGACCAGCCACTGGGTCACACACTACAAGGTAAATTATGCATAAAAAAGTCAGATGAAAAGTTTCACCTTCAAGTGGTTAAACTATTTCTGAAAGAAAAGGTGAATGCTGTGAGCAGGAGTGGGTGTGGGTGTGTCTGCTGTATGTGGCACAGCGATAGGGAACACAATGTCCCCGCTGAGAGGGGGGTGGAAAGTTTTCACATTAAACGTATAGGCGTCAGTCCTATTTACACACACACACACACACACACACACACACACACACACACACACACACACACCCATCCTGATCAACTGGAAACAGGCAGATAGAAGCACCGCCATTGGAAAACACTGGAAAAAGAACAGAGTGAACAAATTTAAAATAGGAGCTGCACAAATAATACAGGAACAATACAACCACAGAGAATGAGCCATGTATTACTCTGCAGGAATTAACATGGAATTCTGCAAGCTGTTAAAAATGAACTAGACTAGTTTTATACGAAGGACATTGCTGAGTTATGAGGGGAGCACATGTGGTCAGACGGTGGTCACATGTGTCGGCGTGAGGGAGTGACTGCGAAGCCACGAGATGATGGAGTAATTGCTTGCATGCATCGGCAAATTAGCAGTAATTAGCATTTTATTGCTTGGTTGGGCACGCTCATGTACACTGCGGGTCCTCACTCCGTAATACATCTAGCAGTCTCTCAGAACTTGAGGACTTTTGAAAGAAGGATAGGACAAGAACTTCTCAAACTAGAATTTAGATACATTTAGTTTCTAATACAAACACATTTACAAGCAGTAGTACTCGCCATAAGGGGAAGAAATGAGTACCAAGGCACAGTTTATGCATTAGTGCTTAACAAAACAAGCCAAGAAACATTAAAATGATCAAGAATCAGAGTACATTAAAAAGAGTGGACATGAGAGCCAGAGTGAATTGGAGCAAAACTTTGTCCATGAGCACTTCCCCGTTAGGCTTTATTGAGCTAGTGGGTTAGCATTGTCCATCTATATACAGTCATACAGTCTATGATACAGATACACATAATAATTGCAGCTCTGAGCTTTGAATACTGGAGCTCTAAGTTTCATTTCTGTGCCTTGCGTGTCTATATCATTATTATGGGCTTCATTGAGATTTCAGATTACCATTTTCATCTATTTACAGCCCATGTTTATATTAAAAAGGAAGCCTGTAGAAAGTCACCTTTTGTCATAGTCACCCAACTGCCTTTTGTGTTGAAAAATAATTAAGTGGTATTTTTGCATTATTACTGTATTGACCTGATGTATTGGTGGTTAGCCTCAGCTTCAGGACATCGTGTTGTGTTTTGATGCGTAGGTGCTTATCTGGTCTACTTCAGAACAGATAAAATAGCATTCTCCAGAACTGAGGCATGTCGGATTAGACCGGGTATCACGGCATGTTTGGGTTTTTTCCTCTGGATTATCTGGGGCCGCGATAGTGGCTCCATTACGTACAATCTGCCCCCGCAGTTCTGACATGAGAGGATTTTTCCACTCATGTCTAGAATTGGGAAATTGTCTATAATTGTTATAATCTGTGAGATTGTGTCTCTTATTTATTATCTTCTCCAAAGTGATCCAGCATTCAAGTCTATAGTGCTCAGAAAATTATAGGACCGCCATTATTATGTGCTAACCCTCTAGCTCAATGAAGCCCTATTGGGAAGCGCTCATGGACAAAGTCTTGCACAATCGCTCTGGCTCCCTATGACTTACATTGATCTAAAGCTGAAACAATTCCTTGAGTAACTCAAGTAATTCGAGTACAAACAATATTTGAGTATTTTTTGTTGCCTTGAGGCTTCTTATAGTTTTCCTTGTTTAATAAATTATTGACAAAGCTCACGTTTTGTAGGGATGCCTTGCACTACACAGCGCCGGTCTTTTAAATACTCTCTTTGCTTGTGGAACAAAGCGCTCTGCCTCTGTGACTATTTTTTTGTAGCCAAAGGACATAAATACTTGCATTATTATAAATAAAATGTGGATTTGATGACATTGAAAATAAAATGTGGATTTGATGACATCCCCGTTTTGCGTTCTGGCAAATAGAGTTTATGGTTGGATGGAAAGGCTTCAAACGTTCCCGCGCCACGCTGCCCCCAGGCGTGCGCTCTGATAAGATGTTGCCCCAGCTTTCATTAGAACTGTGTTTGGCTGTAAACAGGCAGAGCAAGGCAACTGAGAGCATGTTCATAAACTTTATGAAACTGCGAGCTTTGTTCTGCCAAGCTCTGAGCCAGTTCACTTGTGGAGATAGGTGTAAACAAGAGTGTTCATGAACATTTTTCTTATGAGACTGTTGTCTTAAGGAGCAACTCTCAATTTCTTCTTTGGCTAATGGTTTTGTACATAGTAAAATTCAGATTATACCATACTAAAGAGCAATTTAAAGCTTCTTTCCTTCAGTGTGTTAAAAGAACGCTCTATTTTACCTGCCTTGCGACCTAGTCTTGTTGTGTTTGTTATTGTGTGCACTGCCAAATATAGTTTGAATTTATACTGAAATTAAACACTTTTTAATTGACGTTGCTCACAGGAAGAATGTTATAAAATTACACACAAGGGACATCACTTTGCATAATGACAATGTAAAAAGCTGTGGTGTCAAGCTCTTACTGTTTGGGTGAGTGAAGCTCTCAGTGTCACAGCTTGTGCGGCTCTTTCCTTTTTAAAGTTGTCCTTCTGAAAAATATGTTGATAATGCTGCATGTGATTATGAAAGCTTGCTGTAGTCCATCTCCTGTGGAGAGCTTGTATTTGTTGATAAAGCCCAGACCATGAGTGACGCCACAATGCTCTTGACGCTGCATCTCTGGATCCATTTTCTAGTCTTGCATCTGTTTCTTTTTGGAGGATGTTGGTCCTTGTGGGAGTTACATAAGGCACCAGGCCTTTTGAACCCACATTTCTGACCCGCATGTTCCATGCCCCAGAAACAACAGGGCCCCGTTCCATATATCATTTCACGTCTCTCCTACATTTGGAAATTTTTCATTTATCATAAAGATAAGAGAACATATATTTGTCCCACTGTGCACAGACCACACAAAACAATAGATGAATAGCTGTAAATGCTTCTTGAAAAGCTGTAAATGCTTCATAACAGGACCAATAAGTAATGTAAAAAGTATGTTGCAATATAGGCAGAATAAATAGAAGTACTGTAGATAGTGGCAATGACATTGGGCAGTATTTACTACTTACAGATGAGATGACATGTACAGGCTCAGCAGGTCTTATTGTACAGGATGACAGCAGGAGGAAGTAAAGACCTGTTACCCTCTCCTCCACACAGTGAGGGTGGACCAGTCTTTCACAGAAGCTGCTCTCCAGAGCAGAAAAAAGTCCGTCTTCACAAAAAGGAATCCCCTTGTCTACTTTTCCTCCAAACTCCCAATGCTTTACATTGATGGCTATGTGAGCAAATAAAATATAATGCATATTATTTCATCATGAGCGTGTGTGTGTATGTTTTGCGATGTGTGAGTGAGTGGAACTAGTGTTGGATTTGTCAAATCCCTTTTATTAGTGTATCCTGTTTATTGTATTTTGTCTTTTGGTGTACACAAGTTTACAACAAATAATATACTAAACTACTATTTCCACTCTAGGATTCGATACCAGTTTAAGTTCAAAGCTAACCATTTGACGGCACGCTTCCTCACGCACTCTAGGGGAATGTCTCGCTGCCTGCTCATGTGCTCACACATGCATACATGTATACACACACACACACACACACACGCACACACACATACAGATATGCACACACACACATTCACGGGCAGCCTAAGTGACATGGCCTGGGCGGCTCTCATTAGCGTTCAGCTGCTGAGGTGGCCCGTCACGAGGCACAGAGCAGCTCAGGGGTGGTGTTGGAGGCCGCACTCACATGGCAGTCCTGGGCGAGGGCACTCAAAAGGGGGTCCCAGGGGCACCTTGCACTTGCATTACTAACAAGTTAAACAAAGGTCTTCACTGGTTTGAGAATAACAGTAGTGTTTAAAAAGCACTGCAGTCATCATAAACAATAAAAATAGTCATAATAATGCCTTTCAAAATTAATAAAAAGAGATACAGGAAAACACAACACACAGGAAGAGCACACAGCAAGAAAGACAAAATAAAAACGATGTGGACCAGTGAAATACAACAACATTAAAATTAAAATTGGAAGCCTGTTTGGTGAACATGGGTTTTAAGAAGTAATTTAAAAGAAGATGCTGATGGTTCTAGCCTTATCTCCTCAGGAAGGTCGCACAAGCACTAACCACTGTGAAGGCGACACAGTACTTGTGCTTCAAGAGGTCCTGAGTTCAACTCCACCTCCAAGCCTCCTTTTTATGTGCAGTTTGCATGGACTTCACATTTGGAGGTGTTCGGTTGAAGAAAATTATGGACCATGCAAATGTTCACATCATTAAAGCAATCTACCACAGCAGCCAGACTTCCGGGGTTGTTTGTTCTCAGCAAGAGGTATAGCATAGCAGTGGAAGGACATTTTAACAAAACAAGAAAAGAAAACAAGAAATTAAATCATAAATAGTCAAATTATCAAAAAGAGTGAAGACACAATCCTTCAGTTGTGTCCACAGCTAAACAAAATTGTTTACTAACCAGGATTTGTCTGGATTTAAATGTCCGCATGTTTCACTTTTCCATCCCCATTTTAAATGTTTTCTTGCGATGTGTATAAAGGAAACTAGAAGGATGTACACACACAGGGGTTTAGTATGAATTTAATTTATTGTATTTATCGTAGTGTTAAACAATTGGCAATTGTATTGAACAAAATGTACTTCTCGGTGACCTCATTGATCACGTCAATAACGCGCTCTGACAACCTTGTATACAAATGTTCTACTTTTTGGTTGCCGCTGAAACTGGCTTTAATGTGTCCTTTTATGTTGTGTGCAGATGAAGATAATGCAGAGGAGGTAGTGGACGACGCGGCAGACACAGAGGCAGATGCTGGTGCAGAGGTGAGCCTTGAGACAAGTGTCCCTCTGAGGATTATGTTCTGTCGTTAATATTAACACTTCTTATTTTTATTTTATTTGACCTTTGTTTAACCAGGAAAGTCCCATTGAGATTAAGAACCTCTTTTTCAAGGGAGTCCTGGACAAAAGTTACATACAGTTACATACATTACAGATTAAAGAACAGTTACATACATATTATTAAAATAGTAACATACATATTATAAAAACAGTCACATACAATTTCAGAAAATTACAGATTATAAAAAACAGTTACATTCCAATGAGGATGTCTCAAGTGCTCTCAATCTGGATCTAAAAGCATTCAATGAAATAAGTTCAGATAATTTCCAGTCTTTTTGCAACACCATGTAGAAGGAGCAGCAAATACAAAAGCTTTTTTTCCCAGTTCTCTGCAGGCAAAAGGAACAGAGAACAACAAAAGATCATTTGATCGCAAACCATATGAACCAACATCTCTTTGTGTGAGCAATTGGCAGATGTAAGAGGGCAGCGGACCAAGGCCTTATGAACAAAAGTGCACCAGTGTCCAAATTTCTAGTGGACAAAGAAGGCCATCTCACTCGAGAACATAATTCACAGTGGTGAGTCAAGGCTTTGCAGTTCGTAAAGAACCTCAGAGAAGAATGATACAAAGTGTCAATCTGACAGAGACTTTGAGTTGAGGCATTCATATATATCAGGTCTCCATAATCTAAAATAGTTAAAAATGTTGCAGTAACAAGTACTGTACATTTATTTCTGAAAAAGAAGCCCAATCTAAGTATAAAAAAGTATAAATTATAATTAATTCATTCAATGATCCATCCATCCATCCATCCATCCATCCATTTTCTTCCGCTTTATCCGTTGCCGGGTCGCGGGGGCAGCAGTCTAAGCAGAGACGCCCAGACTTCCCTATCCACACACACTTCCTCCAGCTTGTCCGGGGGGACCCCAAGGCGCTCCCAGGCCAGCTGAGAGACATAGTCCCTCAAGCGTGTCCTAGGTCTTCCCGGGGCCTCCTCGTGCACCGGAGCACCTCCCCAGGGAGGCGTCCAGGAGGCCTCCGGAACAGATGCCCGAGCCACCTCAACTGGTTCCTCTCGACGTGGAGAAGCAGCGGCTCTACTCCGAGCTCCTCCCGTGTGACTGAGATCCTCATCCTATCTCTAAGGGAGCGCCCAGCCACTCTGCGGAGGAAGCTCATTTCGACCGCTTGTATCCGCGATCTCGTTCTTTCGGTCATTACCCAAAGCTCATGACCATAGGTGAGGGAGGGAACGAAGATTGACCGGTAAATCGAAAGCTTTGCCTTTCGGCTCAGCTCCCTCTTTACCCCAATGGTCCAATACAGCGATCGCATCACTGCGCACGCTGCACCGATCCGCCTGTCAATCTCACGCTCCATTCTTCCCTCACTCGTGAACAAGACCCCGAGATACTTGAACTCCTCCACTTGAGGAAGGACCTCTCCACCCACCTGTAGAGGGCAAGGCACCTTTTTCCGGTCGAGCACCATGGCCTCGGATTTGGAGGTGCTGATTCTCATCCCGGCCGCTTCACACTCGGCTGCAAACCGCCCCAGTGCATGCTGCAGGTCCTGGTTCGTTGGAGCCAACAGGACAACATCGTCTGCAAACAGCAGAGATGAAATCCTGTGGTCCCCGAACCGGACCCCCTCCGACCCCTGACTGCGCCTAGAAATTCTGTCCATAAACACAGAGAACAGAACCGGTGACAAAGGGCAGCCCTGGCGGAGGCCAACATTCACCGGGAACAGGTCTGACTTACTGCCGGCAATGCGAACACAGCTCTTTCTCCGGTCATACAGGGATCGGATGGCCCTCAGCAGAGGACCTCCGACCCCATACTCCCGGAGAACCCCCCAAAGGACCCCCCGGGGAACACAGTCGAACGCCTTCTCCAAATCCACAAAGCACATGTGGACAGGTTGGGCAAACTCCCATGAACCCTCGAGTATCCGATGGAGAGTATAGAGCTGGTGCAGTGTTCCGCGACCGGGACGAAAACCACTCTGCTCCTCCTGAATCCGAGATTCGACCCTCGGCCGTAGCCTCCTCTCCAGTACCTTGGAGTAGACCTTACCGGGGAGGCTGAGGAGTGTGATCCCACGATAATTGGAACACACCCTCCGGTCCCCCTTCTTATAGAGAGGGACCACCACCCCGGTCTGCCACTCCATTGGCACCGCCCCCGATCGCCACGCGATGTTGCAGAGACGTGTCAGCCAAGACAGTCCTACAACATCCAGAGACTTTAGATAATCAAGACGAATCTCATCCACACCCGGAGCCTTGCCACCATGGAGGCTGCCAACCACCTTGGTGACCTCAGCCAGGGAGATGGAATATCCGCCCCAACATCCTCAGCCTCTGCCTCTGTAACGGAGGACGTGACTTTTTCGTGACTAGATTTCTGTTTGAATCATTGAATGATGCAAGAAATACATATAATATAGGCAAGACAAGGCAATCAGTCCCAGCAGGAGGCCTGTCCCTGTGCTCCTCAGAGTCTGAGTAGGTCCATATGGCACTAACATGCACGTACTTTGGTGTGAGGCCATGGAGAGATTTGTACACATGCAGAGCTGCTTTAAAGTCTATTCTTTGATTCACCGGAAGCCAGTGCAGAGACTTGAGAACTAGACTCATGAATGTGCAAAGAAACAGCAGCAGTTCATTTCAGCATGTCTCAGCTTGATCAAATCCCGTTCCACAAAGGAACCGGTAGTGCTAGTTCCTATAGTTTTCATGTGTTTCTATACCTCTGCTGCAACAGTATAAAAAAGGTTTGGATACCCTTTTTCTGGAGTGTAGGTCTGTTGTGTTTTGACAGGAGGAGGTGGCAGATGACACAGCAGCTGAAGAGGATACAACAACGGATGCTACGGACGATGCCACGGACGATGCCACAGACGATGCCACGGACGATGCCACGGACAATGCCACGGACGATGCCACGGACGATGCCACGGACGATGCCACGGACGATGCCACGGACGATGCCACGGACGATGCCACAGATGATGCTGCTACCGACGATGCCACGGACGATGCCACAGATGATGCTGCTACCGACGATGCCACGGACGATGCCACAGATGATGCTGCTACAGACGATGCTACGGACGATGCTACGGACAATGCTACTGACGATGCTACGGACGATGCTACTGACGATGCTACCGATGCTACAGACGATGCTACCGACGATGCTACCGACGATGCTACCGACGATGCTACCGACGATGCTACCGACGATGCTACCGATGATGCGACAGACGATGCAGCAGTTGATGCGACTGATGATGCTACCGATGATGCTACCGACGATGCTACCGACGATGCTACCGACGATGCTACCGATGATGCGACAGACGATGCAGCAGTTGATGCGACTGATGATGCTACCGATGATGCTACCGATGATGCTACCGATGATGCTACCGACGATGCTACCGACGATGCTACCGATGATGCTACCGATGATGCTACCGACGATGCTACCGATGATGCTACCGATGATGCTACCGACGATGCTACCGACGATGCTACCGATGATGCTGTAGAGGTGGGTTAACTCATATAATATATACTATAACACACACATACACATATACTAATTATTTACGGCGTCTTACTAGTTCTTATCTCTTTTAAACTAGATTTTTTGGTACATTCCTAGTGCTGCTGACCTGAGCGGTGCAAGAAAAACTTTGAGATTCTCATTCTCCTCGTCACGTCATCCTCCCATATTTGTCCAGTCCATCACCTTGGCCAAAGTCACTGAGGTTGTTAGCCGCCTCTGTGATAAGGCCCTAAGAGTGGTAGAGTGAGCTCAGTCCTGACTTATTCTTTATCTGAATCCCGGAATGTTTTGGATCTGTCTTGGTTGACATGTCTCTACAAAATTGCATGGTTATCAGGGACAGTACTGTTGTACAGAGAGAATGGGGTGGTGGTCTTTCTTTTCATGAAGAGGGACCAGAGTGTGACTTCCCAATCTCGAATTCCATAGGAACACTATGGTTTTGTCCCGGTTGCAGTACACTGGACCAGCTCTATATTGGGTTCTCCAGGGGTTACGGGAGTTCCCCCAATCTGTCCTCATATGCTTTGTAGATCTGGCGAAGGCGAGTCACTGTATCAGACTGTTGTGTTGAAAAGGAAGCGGAGTCAAATTTATTTCTCAATTTAGTGACCAATGAGCATTGGGGAATGACCAAAAGTACACAATTGTGGATACAAGTGGTCGAAATGAGTTTTACACGGGAGGAGCTCAGAGTAGAGCCACTGCTTCTCCATATCGAGAGGAAACAGTTGAGGTGGCAATGCATCTGTTTTGATTGCCGAAAAACCCAGGTCAAACTGGAGGGACTAGTCTCTCAAGTGGGAACACCACAGGTTTCCGCTTGTCCTTCTTACCGTTTCATCCAGGCACTCTGGTTTCCCCTAGCACTAAAAACATGTTGAATAAGTATGAATGTAATGAGCGAGAGAACAGATGATGATGGTAGAAGGCTTTGATATGTTTTTGACGTCTTGCTTGGAGTCAATGGAAAACGGCAAACTTGTAAACTGGATTGATTTACCTCTAATACAGTTTTACGCTCATAGGACTCAAAGTTTTCAAAAATAAACATGTTTTGATTTGTGGAATATGCATTTGCTATATACTGAATATTTCTTTAGAGAAAAAGTTAATTTGTACTGTGAATTCTGGAACTAGTTAAACTATGGCGACACTGAGGTCTGATATCTTAAAGTAAATACAGCATAAGATAACTCTCCAAGTTTTTTCCCACGATCAACGTTTCATTGGGTTAAGATTAAGGCAAGGGTTCCCTATGTTTGGGGTTAGCTGTTAAGGTTAGTGTAAATGTTAGGTTTGTGAGTCCAGGATCAACTTTAGCAACAAACCTGAACTGTTGATTACTTGGTGATATCAGATCTTGCACAGGCATTCCGTGTCCAATTAGGAACCAGGTGAACACTATAATAAACCCTGGTTCAGAACATTAATCAAACTTGGTGCTGCAGAGTGCCTGGATGAAGTATAATAGATCCATTTAATGCAAAAAAAAATTGACGTTCATATTCCCTTGATACCAGAGACATTACACATGTTTTGACATTTCTCCTAGGCTGGAGCCACAGATGAGGCCACAGATGCTACACCTGCTGATGACACAGAGGAAGGCACAGACGCTGTAGCGACTGATGAAGACACAGATGACATTGCTGACACTCCCACGGACGCTGCTGACTCTCAAACCGAGACTGATGCAGCCGCTCCTGTGGATGATACACCAGTGGAAGCTGACAGTGGAAACACAGAAGGTACCTCTGTTCTAGACTTACTCTTAGCCAAAGGCAGTATATACAGTGCCTTGCGAAAGTATTCGACCCCCTTGAACCTTTCAACATTTCGCCACATTTCAGGCTTCAAACATAAAGATATAAAATTTTAATTTTTTGTCATGAATCAACAACAGGTGGGACACAATCGTGAAGTGGAACAAAATTTATTGGATAATTTAAACTTTTTTAACAAATAAAAAACTGAAAAGTGGCGCGTGCAATATTATTCGGCCCCTTTACTTTCAGTGCAGCAAACTCACTCCAGAAGTTCAGTGAGGATCTTTGAATGATCCAATGTTGTCCTAAATGACTGATGATGATAAATAGAATGAAACGGTGTGTAATCAAGTCTCCGTATAAATGCACCTGCTCTTTGATAGTCTCAGGGTTCTGTTTAAAGCGCAGAGAGAACCATGAAGACAAAGGAACACACCAGGCAGGTCCGAGATACTGTTGTGGAGAAGTTTAAAGCCGGATTTGGATACAAAAAGATTTCCCAAGCTTTAAACATCTCAAGGAGCACTGTGCAAGCAATTATATTGAAATGGAAGGAGTATCAGACCACTGCAAATCTACCAAGACCCGGCCGTCCCTCCAAACTTTCATCTCAAACAAGGAGAAGAGGCCCATGATCACTCTGGATGAACTGCAGATAACTACAGCTGAGGTGGGAGAGTCTGTCCATAGGACAACAATCAGTCGTGCACTGCACAAATCTGGCCTTTATGGAAGAGTGGCAAGAAGAAAGCCATTTCTCAAAGATATCCATAAAAAGTCTCGTTTAAAGTTTACCACAAGTCACCTGGGAGACACACCAAACATGTGGAAGAAGGTGCACTGGTCAGATGAAACCAAAATCAAACTTTTTGGCCACAATGCAAAACGATATGTTTGGCGTAAAAGCAACACAGCTCATCACCCTGAACACACCATCCCCACTGTCAAACATGGTGGTGGCAGCATCATGGTTTGGGCCTGCTTTTCTTCAGCAGGGACAGGGAAGATGGCTAAAATTGATGGGAAGATGGATGGAGCCAAATACAGGACCATTCTGGAAGAAAACCTGTTGGAGTCTGCAAAAGACCTGAGACTGGGACAGAGATTTATCTTCCAACAGGACAATGATCCAAAACATAAAGCCAAATCTACAATGGAATGGTTCACAAATAGACGTATCCAGGTGTTAGAATGGCCAAGTCAAAGTCCAGACCTGAATCCAATCGAGAATCTGTGGAAAGAGCTGAAGACTGCTGTTCACAAATGCTCTCCATCCAACCTCACTGAGCTCGAGCTGTTTTGCAAGGAAGAATGGGCAAGAATTCCAGTCTCTCGATGTGCAAAACTGATAGAGACATACCCCAAGCGACCTACAGCTGTAATTGCAGCAAAAGGTGGCGCTACAAAGTATCAGCACAACGGGGCCGAATAATATTGCACGCCCCACTTTTCAGTTTTTAAAAAAAGTTTAAATTATCCAATAAATTTCGTTCCACTTCACGAAAAAATTTAATTTTTATATCTTTATGTTTGAAACCTGAAATGTGGCGAAATGTTGAAAGGTTCAAGGGGGCCAAATACTTTCGCAAGGCACTGTATAAGTAACCATAGTATTTTGCTTTTAAATGTGTATGGACTAGATTTACATATAATACAGAATACATGATTATTACAATCTCATTGAAATTATACAAGGCTAATACAAAATAGATAAGCCATATTTTACAGAAAACCTAAAAAAATGATTGCATTTGTAAATGATTATAACAATGCTAACAAACATATTTTGATCTTTTTGCCCGTTGCAGTTGCTGCCGATCTCCCAGCAGACACGGTAAGTCAGGTTTATGCTCATCCTCAGCAGGTATACAGTGTGTACAGTGTGTTTACTCACACAGACCTTCTGTTTCAGATTATACCAGAATCGGGCCCAATAGAAGAAATCTTTGAAAAAGAATCAAGAGGGATGAACAACGCAGGTCAGGGCAACATGATTACATTTTGACTTCACTCACACGTGGCATAGACATGAGCCGGTCAGCTCCTTTTGCCTATTGACCGGTTACTAGGGATGTAACCATATCCAAATCTGAAAGTACAAATTATTGTAAAAAGGCTAACTATGATTTTTTTTAAATAGGATTTCACATTTTTATCATTTTATCATTTGCTTTTGACAGTCACCAGGCCATTTACTGTCCTATTTATGGTTCATAACAACATATAACACTTATCACTGGTCAAAGTCAGGAGCATCAATACCCTATTTGGTCTCGGAAATATTTCATATACGTACAGTCTTCATGAAATCACACGCTATACGTAGCTGCAGTGTCTGTGTCTGTGAGACCATTTTAATACCGTAACACGACCACGACAGTATCAAGGCCCTTTTACCATTTATCGTTACATCCTACATATATCCAGAGTTGTATTGTACATGTTTTTAGTCGGAGGGGAAACCGGAGCAGCCATAGAAAACACTGTTCCTTTGAGTTCATGTTTTAACAATAGCTTTCCCCACTCTTCACTATGACTTATGCTCAAAGGGCCTTTTTTAATTACGCTTTAGTCACGTACAAAAAATCTTCAAATCGTTATTTACGGCTTGTCCTGTTGCAAAATGTGTTTGCACACCACTCCCTCTTTTATGAGCCGTCAATCGGAGACAGATGCAACGTTTCCTTTTGTGCTTTTTTACATTCACACTTGCGTTCAACTCCTCGGCAATGAGTATGGTTCTCACATTTGTGCTTTGTTCTCACTTTAAAGCCTCTCAAAGTCACTGATTGAGTCAAAGCCCAGCCCGCAGCACTGTCACTCGTGTCATTTCAGAGGAATGGAGGATTTAGGTTGAGGGTTGGTCCTTTTTGAAGAGGAATTCTCAGTGAATATTCATTGCATTTCATTTTTTAGTTTCTTATAGCCGGCGTCACACTTAGTTTGTTCTAACCAAAGAGTAAAATGCTGTGAGCAAATTAGACGACAACTTGCTGTCTTTATTGCTGATAGATAGATAGAAATGATCCCCGTTGGAGAAATTCAGGTGTCCAGCAGCAGAAACACATCCATCCAAATTAATAAATAAATGTAAAAGTTACAATCGTAATAGTTATAGTAAAGTGCAACAACTTTAGGTCGCAGCAGCAGAGGTGGTTTAGGAAGGAGCTCTGTGAGTGAGGGGGGTCTCTCTCTTTCAATTTTTAAGCAAGAAGGTCCTGGGTTCGATTCCACCTCCAGACAAGGGGAGTTTTCGTTGTTGTCCCTCTGTCTACTTAGGTTTCCTCTGGGTGCTCCGGTTTCCCCTACCACTAAAAACATGTACAATAGATCCGGTGTTCTGTCGAGTTGCTCTGCCGCATACGTTATTTTACTGACATATGTGTTTCCAGCATGGAGTTTTCCGACAGCCACTTGTTCATCAGTTGATAATATAAATAATAAATCAAATCTTAAGAACGTGTTGCACTGTATCCAAGCTGACCAACTATAGTGTGTTCCAACACTAGTGGATCACTATAGTTTTTATTCTGTCGGGTTTTTTGCGCATGCCTATGTGAAATCTGTTTTCTCTACACCGAAGTTGGAATGTCTCGGGGCTATGTCCCCTCGTTACTAAGAATACTGTCTCTCCATTACTGATGAATATATATTCATCGTAGTTTAACTTTCTGTCAGTGAAAGCTATACTGTGCTTTGATAGGGACCATAGACTGTAAATATTAAGCATAGGGACATACATCCATCAAAACTGCAAGTGAAAAAACACAGGGATAGTAACACTGTACCCAACCATGGCCATAGCCAGCCGTAAACTCCTGTATCCCATCCAATCAATCACGCATGGGAGGCGAGTGTTGTAGGTAGGTGTTGGTGACGTCAAGAGTTTGCGCTGAATTTTCTGGTTGTAGTTTGGCAATGGTGGCAAATGCGATAGTAAAGTAATCCTGTTCTGGTTCGGTCCCCAAAAATCAAGAAATTGAAGCCAGAGTAAAAGGAATGTTTAGCAAATGTCCATGCTGGCAAAGATGTTGTGGCTCTACTCGCCACGGGCTCCGTTAGTGACAAAGGAGATGGCTAGGCTAAATGCTAGCGACTCACTCGGGTGCATTACATACGTCATGGCAAACTTAGATCCAATAGATTCAATCTGCAAAAGGAGTTCACCACTCCCACCTGTTAATGAAGCTCAATGGAGCAAATCCAGACCTTAGTACAAAATGAAAATTGTACAATGGTGTGGTCAGACCAGGCTGTACCTGATACTGAAATACTGTGTAAAACTACTAACAATGATACTGTCCTTTGTTGCAATAAATATGGAACATGTGATGGAGTTCCTGTACTTAAAACACACGCAAAGCCTATATAAATAAACAGGAACATACATCGACAATGATTTGCAACAAACTCTTTTTGAAGAAAAGTTACTTACAACATCACCTGACATTTTCAAAAGACGATATCATCCAATTGATATAGTATGATCTTGTTATTCGACATGGATACGATCCATTCATTAGAAATCCCTCATCTACCTATTAGATTCATGTTATCAGTCCAGTGGACCAGCTGTATGGCTAGCAGCAAGCCCTGGCGATCCAAGATGGCGCCTTATCAAATCAATGGCTTGTGCTCAGTGGCGCATGTGCCACCATGAGGGCCGAAAGATTAGCGGAACTCGCCCATATTTGGGCGTTTTCTGGTCCTCCTGGTTCTGCGCAGTGGACGAGCTCCTATGATGTATTGCGCCAAATACACGGCCGCACTCTGACCAATCAGAGCTACTAATCAGAGCGAAGGAGTGGGAGCTAGAAAAAAGTTCAGGATGACAAAGGACACAAAATTCGACCTTTGTGAAAGCTGTAGGTTCTCTGTCAGCTGAGGTCGAGGTTGAGCTGTTTATATTGAGTTCTAGGGGGAACATTTCTGGGTAGCCCACGTGAATTTAGTCTCGTTTAGTCTGCAGTACCCCGAATCCCCCGAGCACATGGGTCCTTCGCTCCAAGCTAGTAATACAGATATTATTATTAGGGCTGTCAAAATGAATGCACATTAATTTCATTTGTCATTAATCGCGTAAAAAAATAAATAACACATTTATCGCATGTCCGAATGACCCGCCCGTGTATCCCATAATATCACTCAGATTGCCTCGGACACATGCGTGTGTGAGTTGGCAACAGAGCAGGTAGGGAATTCAAGTTTTAAAAGAATTCAATATATAACAATAATATTAAAGACATTAGGGCTGCACAATATTGGAAATTAGAGCAATATTTGATATAAGTGTTTAGTATTGCAATAACGATATTATTGCGATATTTTTTTCTTTCAACTAAAATTGCAATCTGCATTGAAACAAGAGACACAAATAACAAAAACATGAATGACCTTCAAATGCATATTTTTATAGACTTTTTTGTTTGTTTGTTTGTTTGTTGTATTTGTTGAATGTTGATGTACCTGTCTGTTTTGTTGTCTTTAAAGAATGTTTTCTTTTTTTATCGCAAATATTTTTGATATGAATATTGCATGTACCAATATCGCAATAACAATTTTTTTTCTATATATTGTGCATCCCTATTTTGTATGAATGACAATGTGTCATTACATTTGATAATCTCATCTAACTTCCATTGGAGTGGATTTGAAATAGAATGTTAAAAATGCGATTAATCGTGAGTCAACTCACCATTACTATGCGATTAATCAACTAAAAAATGTAATCGTTTGACAGCCATAATTATAATAGATAATAGAATATAATAGATTTAACATCAGTAAAATGACATATGCAGCAGACCAACTGGCTATAACACCGGCATGTGCCTCCTGTCGGTGACTCTGCTCCCATCATGTGGAGTGAGAGGACAAATGCCCACAATAATTGTAAAGCGCTTTGACCAGTGGGGGCGGGTTCCAGCTCAAAAGTGGCCAAAATGACGTGCACTGACATGCTTGCAATAACACCCCGGGTCGATGGGGGTGGACCCAGAAGTAGAATTAGCCAATGCTAACATATAGCATTAGCTGACCTCTCGAAAACGTCTTCACAGGATGGTCCAAAAGTTGGCTCTTGGCCCAAAGCTCCGTTCCACATGTGTGTCAATGCTGAGGGGGTTTTTTTTGGACCACTCTAGTTTACTTGCTGTGAATTTTTTAAGTCTCTCATTCAAATGAATGGAGCTGCGCCGGCTGACGCATGCGCAGATGCGTTTTGTCACAATTTTCTTGTGGGCGGGACCACTCGCTGCCATTTTGGATAGCTCCAGTAGAGCATTATATTTGGCCCATTAGTTAGAACGCCGGAGATAGGCGTGACTATGTCCATTAATTTTTACAGTCTATGGCTTTGACACTCTTTAGTCAGGTTTTAAATTAGACAGGCCCAAAGGGAGTTCTTGTGTTGACAAATGGGGGAGAGAAGGAGGGGGAGTCCAGGGAGGGATTCCAGTGAATGAGATATGGGACAGAGGGGGGAGTGGGGGAGTGCCTCTAATGCAATTATAACCATGTATCATTTCATGCGTAATAGCTGGAATGATATATTTTGGGGATCACCATTCATTCATTACTCACATTGAAAAGTAGTAACCATGAGTGTCACACTTACCAGTTTGGCTTCAAACAGCTGTGGTTCATGAGTTAGATGTTATATTGTGATAAGGATTGGCCATCAGCACTCTGTCAGTCCACTCCTAATAAATGCTCTATGTTTAGACTGCGAACAAACATGTGGATAGAGAAATATTCTGGATTTTTATTGAGCAAAATTACGTTCTACTTTTGAATTACTATTGTATCATGGATTTAATTTAGCACTTTCTTTTACTACTACTACTACTTTTCTTCTAAAAGGCAATTAGGAAAGAGAAGAGCAGAAGCTTGTCTCACTATTTCAGGAAGACTGTTCCAGATTTTAGATCTTTAATTTTAATATTAAATGAACCTGAAATGCTGCCTCCCCGTGTTTAGTCCACCAGCAGGAGGCCAGTCCCTGTGCTCCTTAGAGTCCCAGCAGGAGGCCAGTCCCTGTGCTCCTTAGAGTCCCAGCAGGAGGCCAGTCCCTGTGCTCCTTAGAGTCCCAGCAGGAGACCAGTCCCTGTGCTCCTTAGAGTCCCAGCAGGAGGCCAGTCCTTGTGCTCCCCAGAGTCTGAGTTAGTTCATATGGTTCTAACATGTCACAGATGTAATTTGGTGCTGGACATGAAAAGACTTGTAACAAGCTGCTTTGAGTGACCTTAAATGTGCAATATAAATTACTTACTTATTCTCTGAGCCACTGGAATACAGTGTAGAGGCCTGAGAACTGGACTAATGTGATAGTACTTCCTGGTTCTAGTCAGGCAGTGCTGCACTGTTTTCAGCTTGTTTGGAGAGCCCAGTGAGTTAAAGTAGTCTAACCTGCAGGAGACAAATGCGGGAAAAGAATCTCCAAGTCTGCTTTCACCAATATATTTTAGATTCTGGCAATGTTTTTTTAGAAGGAAAAAAGCAGTTGATGTCATGAGACTCATTTGATTTGGCTGTTAAAATTTAAGTCTGTGTCCATTATTACTTCAAGATGTCGAACCTGATTTGAGGGTTTGAGTTTGAATATGTCAATGTCATTGTCAAGTTTATTTATACAGCGCATTTACAACAACAATCGCTGCCCAATGCGCTGCACAGTAAAAATACATCAAATACAAAAATAGTAAAAAAAAAAAAAGATATTGTATTGCAATAAAGCCCAAATTGTGAAGAGGCAAATACTTAACATATTTGCCTGTCTGTCGTGTGTCAGCAGATAAGCCAAACTGCAGACCAGTATCCATGGTAACTGTTAATGGTTAAACAGACATTAGTTCTGAATAATTAGCAGTGGGCACCAACATGGAGCATGTGTGAAACTCTGGGAACGGTTGGGTGGGCTTACATCAGTCCAATCCGTTTGTTGATTGTTTGACAGTCAGTGAATGTAATATCTGTCATATCCAATCCAATCTTTGTTGTCTTTGTCTTTGCAGAGTTTAACCTGGGCAACAAACCAGAGAGTGCAGCAGTAGCCGAGGGTGAGTGCAACTATCTCATGTACGACTAAAGAATGAATGACAAAGATGCAGAGGTCTGGGATTGTGTCCCAGCAGAAGACATTTTATTGTTTGTAAAAAGACATGACCAGAGTTTTGCACTATGCTTGTGATTTTATAGAAAACAAAACATAGACTTCTCTCAGCATCTGCCACGGCACCAATAGATATGTTAGCATTGAATGATAATGACACGTGAAGCTTTGAGTGTTCAGAAAAGCGATATATAAAACCAATGCATTATTTTTATTATTATTATTGACCTGAAAGGTTCACCGTGACTTCAAAGATCTGAGTCAAATTCATGAAGACCACCGATCTATTGCAAAGTGTATGCACTTGAGTTTCAATTTGTTAAAATAGATGTTCAGTGGTGCCTCATTCATCGCAGGGTTTCATTCTCAATATAACCCGCAATTGGTGAAATGCTTGAATTAGAAGATGTATGTTTTAAGGCTGTAAAACCCCTCACCACATTTTTAGAACAATACAATTCAAAACAAATTATTCTTGTATAGCCCTAAATCACAACAGTCATCTCAGAGGACTAAACAAAACCATTGAAATCACCAACACAGATCAGAGAATTAACAGTTAAGACACAAAAAGAATGCAGAACACGTAACCCTCGTGATAAATGAGGGGCCGCTGTATTCATCGATCAACCCAAGTTCAGGGCCAGTCAGAGTCCAAGTTTCGATCATCTTAAGATTGTGAGAAGTTTGTGAACAGAGAATGTTTACGCCTTTGAGCGAAAATTCCAACATGGTATATGAATGACATAAACACGCAAGAATCACTCTCCAATCAGCAGGGTACAAGTACAACGACATGAGCTGTGGGCCGCTGTAACGCAGGGGTCCCGTCCCAGTGTGAGGTGGGGGCAGTAGTGAGGCCTCGGGGCAGTCAACAGCAGTGAAAGCATTCCACATAAATCAGCTTTTAAAGTGACAGCTTTAACAAGAAGTGCTTAGGAGCTATAGAGCCGCATTGTTCCACTCCTGCGTGTGCGCTCAGGTATTCACAGGCCGTTGCACAACAGAAGGAAGATCGCAATGTCACAAAGTGTGTTTCACAAGAATCTGTGTCAAGGATACAGGACGGTGATAATAATGTATACTGTGTATGTTCTCACTGCAGTCATGTGCACACAGGATAGGCCCATGGGAGGAAGTCCACTAATGTGAAGCCTCATTTGTTTTGCCTGAAACAAGATCTTGAGAATATTGACTTTGCCTATTCATGTTTTAGTGTGTCAACTCATTTGTAGGTAATACCTCATACTTAACTGTTTTTAGCACTTTCACAAGGCGTTTCACTCCATACACTCTAGTGGAAAACTACTACAGTAGGTTGAAAGCGGGTCTCTATAGTCTCTCTATGGTCTCTCTCTCTCCCTGGTTTCCTTTCCCTGGTCTTTTTCTCTCTGGTCTCTCTCTCTCTGGTCTCATTGTCTGGTCCCACGCTCTGTCTCTCTGGTCTCGCCCGCTCTCCCAGGTCTCTTTATCTGGTCGCTCTGATTTCTATTTCTGGTCTTTCTGGTCTCTCTCTGGTCTCTCTCTGCTCTCTCTGGTCTCTCTCTGCTCTCTCTTTGTTCTCTCTGATATCTTTTTCTGGTCCTTCTGGTCTCTCTCTGGTCTCTCTGATCTCTCTTTCTGGTCTGTCTCTATTCTCTCTCTCTGGTCTCTCTTTCTGATCTATTCTCTCTGGTCTGTCTTTTAAGCCATCGGTGAAGGCAATTTTAGATTAATTTGGCAGTTTTTAGCCGCTACTACTACACCATTACTATTACTTTATCTACTTAGCGTTCAATAACTGATGGATAAAACAGTATTTCTTAGACTTACATTATTTATCATCTGTACAGTTTCTTTGAAAAGAGTTTTGCTATTTTAATGAAGATTTAGCTGAAGATGGTTTAAAATGTCATCATGTTGATTATTTAATGACAGCGTTTTAAAACTAAAGGATTTCAGTCAGTTTGTACAAAATGTGTCTCAAACACGGACTGCATAAAAATAGTCCACACAAAAGCCACCCACAGCTGTGATCATGGTATTCCAGTGGGTTTATGGTAATACTTGAAGGTGCACAAGTTTTTTGACCAATTGTTGCTGCAATTGTTGAGAATGTCTTGCCAATGTTAGCAGCCTGGGCTATAGCATTAGCTCGGCGCGTGTTCTTGAAAAAATAAACAGATTGAATGTGCAGACTTACAGGATAACGGAGAAATGTCGTTTTAATGGAGGCACAGGTTTCATGGTTCCTAACAAACAGTTTTAATTCGACATCTAATGCAGTTTTCCACAAAATAGCACAGTCAAAAAACTGTTGGGCGTGAACCCAAGTCAGCTTCCACATTACACTCAATGGTTCTCCCTAATGTCATTAAAAGGAACTGCGCTTTACCTGGCCTCACCCAAATACACACAGAATAGCAGACTTCTCTTAACGGGAAATAAAACGGCCTTTACACTCTTCAATGTAAAACTTGCTTTGACCTGGGATTATTCTGATGTTTTGTTTTGTTTCCATTGTATGTGTGTTGCAATAATTTACAATAACAATTCATCGTTTGTTCATTTTCAGTTCTGTGTCATTTTCAGACCAAACATAAAAAGGTTTGGTGCTGGTGCTCTGGTCCTCGTGGGATGATGCCCACATAGTTGTTTCACATAGTGTCTGTGTGCGTTCATTTTGGTTCTAAATAATGTTTGAACTGGGATCACTGTGGTTCTAATGTTTAAAGTTTAAACTGGTGAAAAGTGATTATTCGGCCTCGTGCCAGGGCAGGTCTGAGCATAGGCCTGACGGGAGTTTACATGGAGTGCCTCTCTGTTTGCTTTGGGATCACTTTAAAGGAAAACACACATTCTCACACACACACATACACGAAAATAGTGAGAGAAGAGACGCATACAAGCAACTCATGCTTCGCTGGGACAGATAGATAAAGACTGTGATTATGATTTCCTCTTTTTTTGTGACTTATGCATCGTGTGGAATGTCGACATTTTAAGGACGATGGAGAGCACTGATAATCCTCATAATCTCTGGCACCCCTGGATTAGAAGTAACAATCCATCAGCAAAAAAACTGTTTTGAGAGTGCCTGAAGCAAGAAACTGAGGCTGCATCACAGCACACAGACAAAAAACTAGTATTGAAACTTGATTATACATATATTTATATATATATACTATAAATATAATGGTGAAGCTGAAGTTTGAACAGGTCTGCTCTAAAGGGACATAATGAGCACGAATGCTGAGTATTTGCTGGTTCAATCTCCTCACGTACGCCTTGCTCTAACTGTGCTCTTTGTGCTCTCGCAGGTTCCTCTCCGCAGAAGAAAGGTAAGGCCTGAATCCTTTCTGTTTGTTTAAGAATGTGTTTTTGTCTGTTTGAATTGTTGTGTGACACGAGGAATTGCTCCTGGCTCTCCGTCTCTCCACACGCCTGTTTCTCCCAGCCCCTATAGACTCCTAATAGGCAAAACCAACATGATGGATGCCTCTCCATAAGAGAACCTTATCTTGATAATTATACTTTCACAGAGACTGGGCTTCATATCCAACTGTACTACAAGGGACAGTATGTGAACCTGTTTTTGAGGGATTTGTACCTGCAGAGCTTGTGTTTAAAGGCTGTTTGTGGTCACAACTAGAAAACCACAAAGCCTGCAATTATTCCGGTTCTTTACAAACAAACAAAAAAAGATAATGAATATCTCTTCATTTGAAATGTCAATGGAACAAGTCACTCATGGTCTCTTACTGGTCTCTCTCTAGTCTCTGTCTTTGGTCCTTCTGTCCTCCTGTCTCTCTAGTCTCTCTCTGGTCTCTGTCTGCTCTCATGTGTGTCTCTCTGGTCACTCTCAGAATCAGAATCAGAATCATTTTTATTGCCACGTAAGTAACAGGAGGTCACAGACTAGGAAATTGCTTTGGCTCAGTGCAACAGTCAAAAAGAGATAATAAAAATAAGAATTAAAAACACTGTAACTCTAAATTTAAATTTAAAATAGAGTTACAGTTACTATTTACAATATACAAGTGCACATGGTGCACACAATGTAAGGTGACAGCAGTACAGTGAAGTAAAGTGACGTATGATGAGCAGTAAAGTGACTTTATAAAGGGCGGGGGGACAGGTTAAGAAGTGTTCAAGAGTCCAACAGCAGAGGGGAAGAAACTGTTCTTGTGGCGGGAGGTTCTAGTCCTGATGGACCGCAGCCTCCTGCCTGAGGGGAGTGGTTGGAATAGTCCATGTGCAGGGTGAGAGGGGTCGGCTGTGATACGACCAGCCCGGCCTCGAGCTCGGGCGACGTACAGGTCCTGCAGAGATGGAAGGCTGCGGCCGATCACTTCCTCTGCAGAGCGCACAATGCGCTGTAGTCTCTGTTTGTCCCTGACTGTGGCTCCAGCGAACCACACGGAGGAGGTGAGGATGGACTCGATGATGGCCGTGTAGAACTGCACCAACATCTGTGCAGGCAGCTTGGCTTTCCTGAGCTGCCGCAGGAAGTACATCCTCTGCTGGGCCTTCTTGATGAGGGAGCTGATGGTCGGCTCCCACTTGAGGTCCTGGGTGATGGTGGTGCCCAGGAAACGGAAGGACTCCACAGAGGTGATGGGGGAGTCCATCACGGAGGGTGGGGGTGGGGGGACAGTGCTCTTTCTGAAGTCCACAATCATCTCCACTGTCTTCTGGGCGTTCAGCTCCAGGTTGTTACCACTGCACCAGGACACCAGCCGGTCCACCTCCCTCCTGTAGGCGGACTCATCGTTGTTGGAGATGAGTCCAATGAGGGTGGTGTCGTCCGCGAACTTGATCAGCTTCACGGAGTCGTGGCTGGAGGAGCAGTGGTTGGTGTACAGGGAGAAGAGCAGGGGAGAAAGAACACAGCCCTGTGGGGCTCCTGTATTTATAATCCGAGAGTCCGAGACATTCTTCCCCAGACGCACTCGCTGCTTCCTGTCTGTCAGGAAGTCAGTGATCCACCTGCAGGTGGAATCGGGCACGTTGAGCTGGGAGAGCTTGTCCTGGAGCAGGGATGGCAGGATTGTGTTGAAGGCAGAGCTGAAGTCCACGAACAGGACCCTGGCGTAGGTCCCCGGGGAGTCCAGGTGCTGTAGGATGTGGTGGAGGGCCAGGTTAATGGCGTCGTCTACAGATCTGTTGGCTCTGTAGGCGAACTGCAGGAGGTCCAGGAGGGGGGAGGTGAGGGACTTGAGATGGGAGAGAACCAGGCGTTCAAATGACTTCATGACGACAGACGTAAGTGCTACAGGTCTGTAGTCATTGAGTCCTGTGATCCTGGGCTTCTTCGGGACGGGGACAATGATGGAGGATTTGAAGCAGGCAGGGACATGGCAAGGCCGCAAGAGAGGTGTTGAAAATGTCAGTGAACACAGGAGTAAGCTCACTGGCGCAGTGTCTCAGAGTGGCCGGAGACACGTGGTCCGGGCCAGGAGCTTTGCGGGGGTGCAGCCTCAAGAAGAGTTGTTTAATCTCTTTAGCGGCTCTCTCTCTCTCTACTTACTTATCATTTGAAAACTTGAGGTTAGGGCTGGGCGATATAAACGGTATAAGCGGTATGCGATATAAATTTGGCCCACGGTAGAGATTTTTGTTATACCGGCATATTGCGATAGGTCATTATGTCATCAAATTACGCAGGCTCTGACGCCAGCAGAGAGCATCAAAACAAACAGGCATTCAGCAGCATTAGCCTAGCACATTAGCCTAGCACATTAGCCTTGCACTTTAGCCTAGCAGCATTAGCCTAGCAGACACCACTGGAAACAGCGAACAGCACGGCATTCACACCGTGTTTCTGTCTCTGTATTGTTGTCACAGCGGCCCCAGCAGAGGTAAATACACACACAGTAATCACAGTTTAAGGCCTGTTTCACACCGCACGCCGAGCGCAGAGCCGAGCGCCCTTTCCAGCCGAACTACCTTGCGGCGAGCGCATGTATTCAGACTGACGCCGAGCGTGGGCGAAGCGCCTAGACGAGTAGCACGCACAAAAGGAGTAGTATTGTACTCCAAACTAATAAACATGTTGTATATTTACATATGTTGTCTGAAATAACAGGTCAGAAATCAAAATAGCACATGTAGACCTTAAATAAATTGCTAACATTTCCTTATAATGTATCTTATAGCCTATTTTGATTGTCGTTTCATTATCATAGTTAATTATAAGGTGTGGGGAAGGCCTGGATCGCCATGGGGGTTAAGGTTAGGTGTGGGGAAGGCCTGGATCTCCATGTGGGTTAAGGTTAGGTGTGGGGAAGGCCTGGATCTCCAGGGGGGCTAGGGCAGGCGTGGGGGCGGCCTGGATCTCCATGGGGGTTAAGGTTAGGTTATAATTATAATATCTATATATATATTATATATATATATATATTATTATATATATAATATATGTTACAATTATATTTTATGCATACAAAAAAAGTATGACATGGAAAATTGTGTAATTAAAAGAATAAACTTATATGTACTTATGCATTACAATAATGAGATTAGATAAACGTGAAATTGCTTTATAAAAGTTATTTTTTGAATATTTTCGTGCTGAAAGCCGCTTCGCTGCGCAGCCTACACGCGGAAAAAATGCGCTCAAGTTCCATTTTTGGTTTCAGGAGCGGAGGCGGCAGCGGCGCGCGCCGATTCCCTGCGCGCCGCCTCAGCGCCGGTCTGTACACAGAAGAGCTTTCTCATTTGCACAACAGGACGCGACTTGAAGCGCAGCTTGCGAATGCACGCGAGCGGGTTTCGAAGACGAATTCGTTCACGAATTCGTGTGCGGTGTGAAACAGACCTAAGAGTCTACCTTTAGGCCAATCGTGTAGGCTCGAAGCGCCAGCGTGAGCCAAAATAGATCCATGCGTGTGCCGTGTCCGCAGCATCACATCAGAAGTTTGGGAAAGTTAGCGTCAGATTCGGACCAGCTTTGTAAACGAACAATAGCTTTTACTGAAGCCATGTACACGCACAAAACTCTGACACTATAAATAATGACCATATCTAACTGCTACAGGCTTTGATTTCAACATTTGAGTTTTTTATATTTTAAATTAATATATATGTCTTTCTTTTTTATTTGCTTTTACAGTAAATGGTCTTTACTGTAACATACATAATGTATGTTACAACATTTGTTTCACAACTATACTACAAATATATATACTAGATTATAATATATAAATAAGTAACAATCTTGACTATTTTATGCAAGAACCTGCTAGACCTACAATTCACACACCAAATTATACCGCAATATATACCGTCTACCGTCTGTGTCCCAAATTATACCGCAATATGAATTTTAGGCCATATCGCCCACCCCTACGTGAGGTAAGTGCGCAGTAACAGTTGTAGTGAAGTACTGATACCCAAACATCAGCAATTCTTCCTGTCACCATGGCAACTGTCACAAATCTGAAAGCGAGCAGTCGAAACCAGAGAAACCATGAGAGCGGTGGAGTATGTGCGGTGTGACTCAGTGTTTGTGAGAACATGAATCATGCTCTTCATTAAAGCTCAGGTCTTTGAAGCGCTGCGCATGACTCACCGTACATGAGGACGCTCTCCCCTGCCGCACATGTTCTCACTCGCTGCGATTAATGACACAGGAAAAAAACAGTTTCTTTTGCCTGAAGAAATCTGGTTCATGTGCAGGGATTAGAACTGCCTAAAACGGATGGTATTACCAAATATTAAAGAGATGCAATTTAAAAATGTAAACTGACATATGCTCATAGACTGTATATACATGGACAATGCTAACTCACTCAATGAAGCCCAATAGGGAAGTGATTATGGATAAGTTTTCCCCTGGCTCCTATTCAGATTCAGATTCATTTATTTGCCATTTGCAGTAAAACCACATTGGAAAAACTGTGCAAGACTACCCCAGTGTGCACCAGACGACACACACCAGAGCTCTTGCCACGGCGCCATCTTTACGGCGCCATGCGACAAACAGTAGAATAAACAGCAGAGAGCAATAACATACAGTTTCACAGACAGTTGGATAGACACATTGTGCTTTGTATAAACCACGGATTTCTTTCTCGGGATGAGCACCTCCGACTGCCGGCCCAATGTGGCTGTCAGAGGGGGGCGGGGTCAGGGAGGGGGTGAGTCGGAAACACAATGAGGAGTGGAGGGGAGGGAGGGAGCAAGATGGATAGGTAGAGGGAGGCGGGGGGAGCGGGATCCATGCTGGAGACTGAATTGTTGTAGATTGTGGGACCTTGTTATTATGGCCTTGGCCGAGGAATGTGAGATAAGAGTGGAGAGAAGACACAGCAGGAGAAAAACACATCGCCTGAGGGGACAATATTGTATGCAATGTAGCAGTCAAAAGCAGGCAGATATTCTATTAAGTCCAATTAAACCGAATTGCGGCGCCCTCAGACCTCCGTACACAGGGGCAAATCCAAGCCGGGTCAGAGAGTTCAAGCCTGACACACGATTTCATTCCATCTCAAGTCCAAAGTTTTATTCCCTTCGAGTGAACGAGCTGCGAGGTCTTTTATCAACTGTTCCACCAAAACCACTCTCCTTTGTCCAGACACGGCACTCTCAACCACGACGCGGCTTAGCTCCTTGTACATCTTATCAATTTTGTCGGCCAGCAGGTCGTGAATCTTGCAAACTGCCATGCCTCCAAATTTGCGATAGAAGAGGACCGCTCCAAACCCAAACAGGAGGATCCCCACCACCAAAATGCCAAAGATATATACGTCTTCCGAATCTTCAATAGACAGGGTCGACAGACAGAGGGGCTGAAACTTGTTCCAGCTGTCAAGAGTATACCCCGCCGGTGAAGTCCCGTCCGGGCACACGGGCTCTCCAGACCCACGCTTACGTGTTGAAAAGATAGAATCAATTGCGTTGAGGGACCAGTTAATCATTTCCATTCTTGTTAAAGTTGTCTGTGGCAAAACTCCAGGAAAAAGACAAAAACAGGAGATAGCAAGCAGTCAGAAGCAGGAGCGGTCTGAGACACGTCTTTGCTCGACGGAGGCGGAAGAAGAAGCATATTGACTTGTATTGAAAAATAAATTCCTCTAGCTAGTAACCGTTTATGTCACATTTTGGGCTTAAAGGTCCCATATTAGGCTTTTCTTCATGTTTCACAGTCCATCCTATGCACATGTGTAATAATAATTTGAGTGATACACCATACAACTCTCAAAACTTGCGAAATTATAGCCATCTCTTGACGTCACCTCGACTCAAACGAGCTGATTCAGAGATCAGTCTGCTCCTCTGTCCGTGAGCCCGCCCCCCGCCCGCACGGTGATGTAGCATCACGCTCTGAGTTGTTTATCACCGGTACATACTGTAGTCATTTCAGACTTGAGAATAAACTTTTTCCAACAATGACAATTCGCCACATCGAGCCCTGTGTCCTTGATGAACAATCAGACCCTAATTATTTAGTTTACAGAAGTATACGATGAGTTAGAATCACTATACTTACAGATCTTGGGTCCGTGTTGCGTCTTTTATCGTGGGAATAACACATGTTTCCAGATCAGCTTTTGAGTAAGTCCAGTTCCATTGTCCCTGTAGTTCTGGAACAGTCTTAGTGAAGTGTCGCAGATTTACAGATTCATTCAAACAAAGGCAAATCCACGTGAAAAAAGTTGAGCCGCATTCTTCCTCTTCGGGCCAAATAGTGCGTCACATATTTACAACCAAAACACATGTTCTCCAAGTTGACACTTTTAGTCGCTGACAAAAGCAGAAAAACAGTAGCTCCATGTTGTGTCCACGGGAACAAACCGCAGACATACGCTAGACTGGCTGTGCGCTCTGATTGGCTGTTTCAATCTGTCAATCACCTCCCGGCTTTTACTATTATTTTTATTTGTATTATTTTTGACAACAAACAGCATACTTATTGTGTATTGTTTACCCTGTTTTCCCAAAAGTATTTAAAAACCATTTTAAATACAAAGCAAACAGGCTTATGCGCGTCATATTCATCATCAGTGTGGTTTTTGTCACAGATGTGGACCCGGGCGTTTCGCTGCCTCTCGAGGGTGAATGAGACAGATCGCTCTCTATCTAAAGATTGACAGAATCAATGAAAAAACTACTTTGGGCATGTGTATGAGGCCAAATAGCACTTTAATCATGTTTAAAGCAGAGATAAAAGTCAAAAAGCGTAATTTGGGCCCTTTTAAAACATGTGGTTTTACGCTCTCTATGATTCTGGTGTTTATAACATGATAATGTCTTTGTAAATCCAGATATGAGCCATGACCAATCTCTATCCAGCTTGCCTTAGCAAACATGTTAGCAACATGTTAGCTATTAGGATGCAAAGCTAGCGCTGTTGGAAACAAATACCCTTATTTGGAAAATGGCTCCAGCTAGTTTATGTTGAAATCGGTGTCAAACACTATGATGACATCAGTACTATGACATTGTTGGAACCAATTACTGGGAAAAAATTAAAATAGCCAATAGTATTCTGAACCATCTGCTGATCAGAATGTAGAAAGGTGTAAACGAGCATTCTGAGGATTCCTCTCTGACCGATGTGTGAGGAATGTGACAGCTGAAATAACACGTCATCAACTGTGTCAAATAAGGCTCTACTCCTCTGTAGATTCAAGTGACAAAATTACTGAAATAAGAATAAGCAAGACCAGAGAGAGACCAGAAACAGAGACTAGAGAGAGACCAGAAGAGAGACCAGAAGAAAGACCAGAAGAGTGACCAGAGAGAGACCTCGTTGATTTGCTCCAAGTCTCCAAAAGATAACATGTTTTCACAACGTTTTACTTTTACAAGACTCTTTCTGTTGCCACAAACAGAAAGACAAAATAAAATTGGGTACCCCAGCTTTCGGACATTGTTATGACCATTTTTAAGGAACAAAACTTGAGGTGAAGCAGCGATTAAGAGAGCACTCCCGAGAACTATGCACGGCATCCAATCCACGTCCGGACACACCTGCGGCATCACAATGGGAGCGCGGGCGCAGGTGCAGAGCGAAGCATGGCCAGAATAACTACAGTTTAGTCAAAGACGCAGGAGGAAGACAGTCCTACAGCCCTCAGCCCCCTCCTCTTCAAATCTGAATGGAATCTGACAGGAAATGAGTGAACGCACGGCAGGAGGGCAAACACCATCCTGGGATATCAGGAGTGATGAAGGCAGGATCCACACCAGCTCTGATCAGATCAGAGAGACCAGCGAGAGAGAAAGAGAGGCCAGCGAAAGACAGACCAGAGAGAGAAAGAGACTAAAGAGAGAGACTAGAGAGAGAGAGCGAGAGACCAGAGAGACAGGCTAGACTAGTCCTTTGAAGAAATGATAAGATAAGATAGACTTTTGTTGTAAATGTTGTTGCGATATAGGGACGCATAAAAATTTATTTAATCTTATTGAACCAGAAAAAGAGACCAAAGAGAGCGACAGATAGAGATGAGCGCGAGAGAACAGAGACACTAGAGAAAGTGACCAGAGAGAGACCTCAAAGAGTTTTATAATAAAACAATTGGAAAACAGCTATGAGGCTGTAAAGAATGTTACTTCACCAGAGAACGTGTCAAAACTCCTTTAGGGGAAATACTTGAAATTACCGGTACACTAAACATGGTAAAGCACTTTGTGAGACCTTGGCCTGTGAAATACGCTGTTTAAATAAAGATTACTTATTTACTTTGTCTTCACAGGGTCTGGCTCGGGGGCTTTGGCTGCGGTTCTGTCCACTATCGGAGTGGCAGCAGTGGGAGCAGTCACCGGATACTTTGCCCACCAGAAGAAGAAACTCTGCTTCAAAAACAGAGGTAACGATACTGCTCTGGGGTATCTGTTGTTGGTGTATTGTAGCAACTTTGAAGACTGTTAAGAGGATTTGTACGACTGGAGCACACTGTAAAACAATGTAAATATTGGATTGTTGTTGTGTGCACTGTTCAGACACAATGCAGAGTTGACAATAGCACGAGGTTTTGCTCCAACCCGCTCTGGCTCCGAGTGACTTTCATTGAAAAGTAAACTCCTCTCGCTCAGTAACTGTTCGTGTCATACTCACCATTTGGGGCTTAGTTTAATGCCCCTTGTGATCCTGGTGCTTATATTTTCATAGTGTCTTTGTAAATCCAGATATGAGGTATATATGGATTGACCAATAAATTCCTTCATTTATCTGTTGTTTAATTTATAGCAACGATTGCCATGCCCAAAATGAAGACACACACAGAAAAGAAAAAAATCAATTGCAGCTAAACATAAATTGTGTGTTGTCTCCACAGCCTCAGGTGGAGTGACATGGAACCTGTAATTTAATAGGAATTTAACACGTTCAAACGGTATTAGCCAACAGATTAAAAGTTTGAAGACAAGATTTCCCAGTTTCATCTGTATATGAGTCATTCAAATTATATAACAACCAAGGTAATTTTACAAGTAATGTTACAAAAAAAATTCTGCTTTTTAAAGTATATTCTTGTCGATGTGCTAATTGCATATGGTCTTGTGAGTGTGGACATGTTGACTGTAAGCAGGCCCCTGCTGAGTGGACAGTATCGGTAACAGATCCTGGATCTGACTCAGCTGCTCTCACCACCCCACTGTCCACTACAAAACATTTACTGTGCTCAGAAGACACATGTAGGTGGGAGAGACGTCTGGAGCGTACAGCTGGAGGCTTTTGTCGTGTGTGTAGTCCAAGAGCAGAGTCCTCAGAGTTAAAGTCTGAGCAGCAATTGAGTGCTGACATGGTGTGGTCAGCTGTGTTTCATGGACACTGAGGGGTTTTTCAGTGAGTTTGGGTGTTCCAGATTCTCTGCGTATAAACGCAGAGTGAGTGAGACGTTCAGTGTGTGTGTTCTTGGCTCATCGTTGATCTCACAGTTCTGGTTCTCTCCTCAGAGGCAGACCCAGAGGAGGCCCGGAAAGAGGAGGCAGCAGAGGCCAAGTCCGACCCACAAGGTGAACACACTCACACACACATACACACACAAATACAAATATACACACACACACACACACACATATACATGCAAATAAACATTCACACATACACACACACACTCAGTACTTACCCTTGTGTTCCGTCTCTGTGCTTCAGTCCTTAGCACCCTGCTGAACTCGTCTTAAGATCCTGTGTCGCCTGCAGCCAGCGCAGTGGACCACCATCTGTTACTGTGAGGCCCCGGGGCCACGTGTGTGAGGGAGTGAATGTGTAGAATATCAAACATGTGAATATATGGGTATATGATTGTCACCCAATCTCTAAAATCACTTTTTCACCAAATCCGACCAGAGATTAGATCTCACCATCAAATGGCCTCCATGTAAAAACTACCTTTGCCTTTAGAATGTTTCCAGTCTGTATAATCCTGTGCAACCATGTAACTCCAGTGTGTAATACTAAAGTGTGTAGTTCGTCTGGAGCAGGTGGATTCCACTGTCTCAGTTGATTTGATTATGAATATTCAGGTGATGCACAACGATCTTTTAGAACTGTGATGTAACATGCTTGTAAATGTGCCGGGGGAGGTTTAACTCGGGATGGGACACAATGACAGAAGATAAGATAAGATAACCATTTCCCCACTGATAACCCTCTAGGTAAAGGAGATAATAGAGCACTCAGCACACAGCAAACAAGATCCATTATTTATCCAGTATTAGATAATAGACAATTAACAGATTAAAAACTCTCAAGCTATAGTTGCACTTGGTTTAAAAATAAGTAAGTAATGTTATTTATATACTGGGCATTTTTCTTCTCACTCCACACAATGGAAGTGGAGTTGACTCTCCACTGGAGGCACGCACCGGACCTATTGTACATGTTTTTAGTGGTAGGGGGAACCAGAACGCCCAGAGAAAACCTAGACATACATTGAAATAACATGCAAACTCCACACAGGCAAACTGAGTGGCATATAGAGACAGTGTCCAAACTCCACACCAGCTGTACCAGGGGAAAACGTCTCCAACACAACTATCGTCTCCTTAATACTGACATATCACATGTGTCATGATAGTGTCCCATCCCGACGTTCAAATATCACAAACTTTTTTTTTTTTAATTGTCCGGAAGATCACTATGTCTTTTATATTTAACCCACTTTGCCCTTTTAGTGTTTTGTAGAAGTATGTTGTTATCGTGCGTAAGCTCTGAGGGGGTCGGAAGTCTCCCGCCTCTAAGTTAACTTGTCCTCCTCTACATCTATGTTCTGATTGGTGGAGGGACTTTGTGTGAAATCGTCAAGGCGACCACCACTCGTTTGGTGTCTTGTGCTTTTGTGTAGCGAGAGATACAAAATGGCGGCGTCCGTAGATCCCAGAATCGAGTAGAAGTAGTAGTACTACTATAAGTAGGACACATTAGTAGTAATAGTAGTGCCTTTTTACGCGGCTTGGACTTTACACAGGCCTGTTCTGAACATGAATGTATTTAATTCCAAAAGTAGACTGTTTCGTATGGTGTCTTTTTGCCAAAACTCTGCCACATCTGGACATTTTGGATCGAAAAGATGTATTTATAGAGTTAGCAAGAATTAGCAAAAGTATATAGTCATGGATAAAAGCAGCCTGAACGAGCTTTCTACACCGTGGCTGGACGCTCACTTAGAGATATTGCTCCATGTTGAGTGGAGGCTTGTCCCTCCCATAGACTGTATAAAAGGATTGGGCTGACACCAATATTTGAGCGGGAATGTGTGGCCAAAATCTAAACCCCAGGATCAAAGAGAGCGCTAATCCATGGATTAAGACCAAAATAGTTAGTGTGACACAAACTGAGCTAGAAAAGTTTACTTTTCATTATAAGTCAGTAGGAGCCAGAGTGAGTTGGAGCAAAACTTCGACCATGAGCACTTCCCTATTGGACTTCATTGAGCTCAGGGATTAGCATCGTCTATCTATATATAGCATAGTCACACCGCAGCAGACATGGCGGGTCAGAGGCATGCTAGCTGCTAATTCTTCCTTGTGTGGACACTATGGCTCTACTATGATAGTGGTGGACATCAGCCTGTGCACTGCCCAATCCCGCCTCGTATCATTCCGCCCCTCTATTGTTGAGCTGTGTTAGCCGCTACGCTAGCTGGTATGTAGTTTGTGTGTTTTGTAGAAGGCTTTATCCCCCAGTTTGAGACACTATCAAGTCGGATTAGTCAAGGATCAGTCATCTTAAACCCTCGCTTTCTCACATTGCTCACCTCGATGCGTTTATAAGCACTTTGACAAGTATAGAGTTATCCTGTACTTTATATTCACATATCTTGTGTTTTGTGCTCCTCATTCCTACTGTTCTGTAACCTGCAATGCAACACTGAATTTTCCCCACTATGGGACGAATAAATCTTAATCATCACAACTTTGAGAAGCAAAACGCAGGTACTTGATGAAGTATTTGTTGCCAGCAGTAACCACATTTGTCAAAAAATAGCCATTGTGAATTGTCTCGATTTACAGAGAGAAAACGTTTGAAAGAATTGCCTCTGATTTGGTAGTGTCTCAAAGTGCTGGAGGTGAAAGCTCGGGACAAGTGCAGTCGGGGGTAGCACAAACAGAACGTGTCTTTGCCTTATCGCTCTCGTTTTTGTCACTTGTAGAATGTTTCTATTTTTAATCGCTATATTATGAGCTGCAATACTGGACAGAGACTGTTGTTAACAGCCTAGCCTAAAGAAGTGAAACTATGATGTTTGTTGTTGGATTTTCTACTGTATGGACTGTAGGGGGCACCACAGGCTTGCACAGGCCGCTGTTGCCTTGGAAACTGTAAACCTGAGTATTCTTTAACCGACTTGGACCAATAAACCACTGGCTGTGAGGGACTAGAGAGAGCATGGCCAGCTTGTATTTCCGTGTGAAATAAATTTGGCTGTAATTGCCCAGAGAAATTCTTAGTTGGAAAGAATTGTGATGTAGTAAAAGCTCTCACAATATTTAGGCCAATTTTATCTGCAAATAAAGCTTTAAAGTGAATGTTAGATACTTTTCAAACTCATTGGTAAAAAATTATAAAATTCTGTCTTTGGTTGATTACACAAGTTGACAGCCAAAAAATGGTCAGGGGTTTCTCAACTGATTTAGACTAATTTTGGTGTTCTGAGTCCGAATATCACATGCCTTTTGCTCTATCAGGTCAACTTTTTGAGATACAGCCATAGTGTTACGGATTATGTACGTCTATGTTATTATGAATTCTGCTTATCAAATTTGATGGAGTAAATAAAAACGGAATGACTTTGGATACGTTGACTTTTATTTCTTGAGGAAAACGGAAAAAACGTCAAGGGTTTCTCAGCTGATGATCCGCAGAAATTTGTTTTTTACGCAAGATCGATAAAAAAAATATTTCTGTAGCAAAAAAGCCTGACCTGATTGAGCAAAACCAAGGTCATTTTCGGACTCAGCGCATCAAAATTAGTCTAATTCAGCTGGAAAACCCTGGACTATTTTTTTGTTACCCAGTGTTATCCAAGTGTGTGGCGCTTTCTCTCTGGTCCTCACACAGCCGGTACACAGGAAACGTGGCACTCGAGTTCTAGAATGATCTTTCATGTGATGTCAAAACAAAAAGCTGCATTTCACAGAGCGGTGGAGGGCAGGACCAGATCACTATGGACCAAAACGTACTTTATTTTCATCACTGTCTTTTTTACACTGAGGTACTTTCACTCATTCGATGGTTTTGTTGTGATTTGAAAGTTGGGTACTCCAGCTTTAATATGTCAAATAGCATATATTATTGTTTCAGTCTTTTTAGCAAGTTTAACCGTTAACACTGTACATTTACTGTATCACGTTTATTTGACTATATATACATGATCTCAGTTAAACACAAACATGAGCCTTGAACTTCAAACGTTTTTAGAACAAGCAGGCCCTGCCCTCTGTCACACAAACACTCTATGAATGTCTCTCCCAAAGCAAGTGCCAAAGTGACCACCGCCCGGTCCTGCCTTAAACAAGCAACAGACATGACGCGCATTCGCAGCCAGTCCAACAGACACATGTACTTTGGAATCTCGTGTTATCTGGGACGATGTTGTGAACAGTCATGTGCATGTGGAGGGAAAAGCAGTCTAGACCTGGACTGGACTTAGACTGGACCTGTGTTAAAGTCTTTATTTAAAATGTATTTTCTTGTGAACTCTTTGTCACGTCGTCTGGCACTTCTTAAACTCTGTAAATATTGTTTGAGTCAATAAAATGTGTTTTTGTGGGACTATTTGTGTGCAATGTATTATTTTTGGAATTTTTTACGTTGGGCATTAATTATATTTACTATCGTAATTGCGTTTCTAGATAAATTGAGAATAGTGAACACACATTTCGGAGTTAAGAGTTTCAATGAGGCATAGGCCTCATCAAATGTACAGTAAGGTAAGAGATCATTTATTTGTCCCACAGTTGTTAACATCACACATCATCCTGATAACCACACAATTCACAAATTATATTCCCAATATTCTCAGATGGGGCTGGTGCTGAGTGTACTGGGTGCAGCTCTGACTGCCACCCCCCCGACCCAGAAATGGATTAAGGGGAAGAAAATGGATGGATGGATGGGTTTAAAATAGTTGAATACCAAAAGTTAGTGGGGGCGGGTCCCGGCTCAAAAATTTCCATGAGCATGTGCGTTCACATACTCTCAATCTCACTCCGGGCCGATGGGGGCGTACCGGCGAGAGAATTACCCAATACTTTTGTTTTCTCTCAAAAATGGCTTTACAGGATGGTCCAAAAGTCGGCTCTTGGCTCAATGCAACGTTCCAGATGCTGTCAATGCTGAGGGCAGTATATATATATATATATTTTTTTTTTTGGACCAATCTAGTTTAGTTGCTGTGGACTTTTGAATGCACTCGTTAAATGAATGCGTTTTTTACATTTTCCTGCTCTGCGGCCATTTTGAAAAAGTCCACAGAAGGCAAAAGTAGAGGCACATTAGTTTCAACGGTGGAGATAGGCGTGAATCCGTTAATATTTACAGCTACATGGGTTTAACATGTGGACTGTTACATCTGTATCTCTTCCCAGTTCTGTTCTTGACTCGTGCGGCCCTCTGCGTAATTTCAAGTGTCCCTCAGCCTATATATATATATATGTATATATGTATATATATATATATATATATATATATATATATATATTTATTTATTATTATTATTATTATCATCATTATTATACAACGTTTTTTGCTCCAAAACTAAATAAAGCTTTTTTTTATTTGATGTGTACCAAAACACGTTGTCAATTTCATAATTTTAAGCGTTATTTTGATAATTATTAGCAGATTGTGACATTTATCATTTCATTGTATTCTTTTTTTTGGACAGTTTTTGTCCTCGCCGCATAAATAGATACTGGAGCAGCAGCGCCCCCCTGTGGTATCTGCTGGTCAGTGCTGCGAGCTTGCAAAGAAATGTAAAGCATCTGAGTACATGAAGAAGCCTCCAGTAGGCCTACACATTCTATGGAAGAAAATAGTATTGAATAAAGTATTGAATGATGGACGTCTACACACGATTTGACATCACCAAGTAATAGAGTACCCAGGATGGGTGCGTACCGATGTTCCCCGGGTCCGATGTTCCCCCACTTCTATAGGCGGGGGAACATCGGACCCGGGGAACATCGGTACTTCGCGTATTAAAAAGTCCCGATGTTCCCCGGGTCCGATGTTCCCCCGCCAATAGAAGTGGGGGAACATCGGGACTTCAACAACGAGACTAGTCCCGCTGTTCCCCGCGTGCGCCCTTTGATGTTTGATGTTTCCTCCTCCACGAAAGATGGCATATGATCCGTGCCAACTTTTGTGAGAGAAAAAATACTAACTAGCCTAAGCCTATTTACTTTTCTTTTTCCCTCTCGCTCTTTGTGTGCTCATATTTCAGCTGATCGCAGCTTGAGTCTATGCAGGATATTTTTGGGCATGTTATGGGCATGTTATCTCCCCTTGCTCACTCTCCCATGGGCATCTATATTTGACAAGTCTGACTGAATAAAATGAGGACGATTGAAACTAGAGCTACTACATCTGTTAGCCTATTGTTTTTCCAAATACGTGGTTTTGCTGAGGGCACTGTGCTTTTACGCATAATGGACACGCATATGACGTCGTTTTTGTTGTAAAACTTGAATATGCTCTTTTAGTTTTAGAGATATTAATACATATTATTCTATTCAGAATGCGTGCGTCATTGTGCATTGTTGTCCCGCCTTACGTGTCACTCACAGTTAAAATGTAAATGACCAATTCAAACATAGCATTTTTACAACTTGAACTTTAAGAAAAAAATGATCAAAGGAATCAGTGTAAAATAAGATCGGAAAAGCTCAATTCATGATTGTTTAATTAGGTTTCCCATTTTTAAATACAATTGGAAACGCTCAGAATTCAAAAATATTGAAAAGTGTATTGGCTCCTACAGTGGGGGGAATAATAATAATAATTATAATAATAATATAACCCCCTGAGCGTCATCACGTTCCTACGTTGCTTCAAATATAGTCCTGTTTATTGGCTGAACAATTTTGTCCAATATCATATCACACAGCGTGAAGCGAGAACAACCAGCTATTCCTCGTCTTAAAGATTGACAACGCTCTCAAAGCATTCACAACAGAGCAGCCTTTTTCATTTTAATTTTAAGAAAGTTCAGCGTGAACTTTGTGAGGTAGAGGAGCCAGAGGCCCGGGCCCGTAGGTCCCAGAGGAGGAGAGCGCGGTCAGGCCTGGCTCGCCTTGCACTGATGAGGTAAACTCTAGGCCTGTGTGAGACACACTGTGGGCCTCACTGTGGGCCTCATGTATGAAACCTGCGTACGGCCAAATCAGGGTAAATGAGGCGTACGCAAAATATTACACTTTTCCGCATTTATCTATCTGGACGTGAGCGTACAATACGCAAAAAATAAACGCCAGGTCTGGAGGTGGTGTAAATCTATACGCTGAACTCAACCTTCGGCACAACACGCATAAAATTCAAGATATGTACAACAATAAACATATTCCCTCTGGCAAAATTATATGCTGTGTTTTCATTGAGGATCATGTTTCAAAATTTGAATTTGCGCATCAGAAAAAGTCTAATGGAAACACGCAAACTTCGAATAAATCACAGCTCATGAGGACCCTCTATTAAATCTGACTTGTGTGTGTATTGTTTTGATCTGTATGTTTTTAAAATGTGAAGCGCTTTGTGATCCTGGACAGTGAAAGGCTCTATATAAATACACTTTACGCAACAGGGATGTGTGACCCATCTATTGCTGTGGCAGGCTCTGCGCTGCGTAATTACGCACGGCTATTTGTATTCCTCATTCACATCTGGTAAAGCAATGTGTTATTTCATTAGATTTGTGTAAGCCTCACACAGACACACACCCCAATAACGCATCGATGGTATTGCTCACTCAAACGTCTCACTGCCCTGTCCAGAGTGCGCAGCGAGTGCCGTGAGAGGTCGCGCCACATGTGCAGAAGTTTTGGCTCCAGAGTTTCTTTGTGAAATCTGGACCGCAAACGCTCTCTGAAGTGTACAGCGCTTCAATGCGCACTTCTACCCCGAGCCAGGCTGCGTCCAAGACGCTGCAGACGCTTCATTCATGAGAGCCACCGCTGCATAATATATATGAATTAATTCATTCATTCAATCAATCTATATTTATTCACTTCTACAATTCAATAAGGATTTTTCTAATGTATCAAAACATTTTGGCAAATTGCGTAAATGGAATATACACCCAAAATGTACACCTTTTTCAACGCAAGTTTCATAAATGAGCTTGTGTGTATGTGCGCGCGTGAGTGCGTGTGCGTGCGTGTGTGCGTTTGAACCATATTCTTTGAAACCCCAATTCCAGTTAGCCCTTGTAGTTTGCAAGCGAATTTGGCCTACTTACTAATCTGCAGGCCTACCCAAAATAGACTAGTTATGAGCGAAAGCCGCTTGTTGCTCCATTATCCGCGCGCAGCAATAACATGTCTATGAGCGAGGCCCGCAGTCGGGGAACACCGGGCCCTCCGGCGTTTGGAAGGTCCGGTGTTCCCCGGGTCCGGAGTTCCCCGCCCCGGGGAACACCGGACCCGGGGAACTTTGGTCAGTTCCCAGCACACATGGGTCTCTGTGCGCGCATGTGGCTATAGTGCGTTTATTACGGTAGTGAGCTCGGACTCCAGGAAGAATGCAACTTTCGTTCAGAGAGTGAGCTGCTGTGAGTGAGCTGTTATGTGGTGAGTGTTTCTGCTTCTGCTGCACAACTTTCTAAAACTACAGCCTCCACACGACCGTCCGCGCTGCAGGAGCCTGGAGTGCGTCTGATTGCTCTCCTTTACGCACTGACTAAATAGTTTTGCAGACGCGTTATTATGTGTTCATCAGTAGTGGTTTGAACTTGTGCTTCTCAGCAAGGGTTCGATTCCCAGCCGCGGCCTTGCCTCCGGCTCAGTTTCCCCTACCACTAAAAACATGTATGTGGTGAAAGTGAATGTGGCACGGATGGAAATTAGCCCAAGGTTCAATCTGGTAAATTTACAATAATCCTGTTGTTTGTTCATGAATCATCACTGCCCTTAACAAATAAACAGCTACACAGAAGCACAGATGCTCCACAGTTGGAATTTACATGTAAACAATACACAACATGCAGTGAGTCTGAGTCTGAGTGGACAGTGGTGATTGTTGGAGTTGTCCCACTTTAAATAATGACAGGTCCCGCAGGTCCTTCCTTCCTGCTGCGCACAACAGAACTGATTAGCCTGGACACTGGTCATTCATCTGTTATGATAAATCGCTAGTCACTTCAGTCACTTTAACTGCTATTATTACATATTCATCTGCTCTTCTGGTCATTCACTAGCCACTTACTGTACCTGCTGCTATTTAAATTACTATTTTTTTAACATTTGTAAATTAAAATACCTCATAACTGCTGCTGACTTCAATGTGTTCTCCACAAGTGTACTTATCCTTGATCAAAGTGCAATTATAGCTCCAGAGTTTGTTATCTTATTACATTATTATCTATTATCTTAAATAATAGATCCTGTTTGATGTGTGCATAATGTGTGAGTGCTCTGCGCAATATAGGTTTATCATCAAAGACAAAAAAACACTTTATTAGTGTACTGCTCTGTAAGATGTTAAAATAGAAAATGTTTGTATAACCTAACCATGATCCAAACTTCTCCTTCCTCCCTGACCTCACCTGTGTGAACTTTCAGCAGTCATTAGGATTGTGTTAACGACAATTTAATACACCCAGAAAAATGCTGTATGAATACTTGTGCACACCCCCAAGTCTTTACAAAAATGACTGAAAGGTGCAATTTTTTTTTCACTTAAAAGTTACATGATGCACATTTGCTTTGTGTTCTTTGTTATAGTTAATATAACTTGTAAACTAGTATTTGAAACAAACATGATCAGTGTGGTACAATTAGTGTCCTGGACCAAAGGTAAATTAAAGTAAGTAGTGTAACTCATTTACATTTCAACAACGGTAATATTGTTCTCTTGGTGGTTTCTGCGAAGTGGAAGCCCCCTCACTGGCTGTCTCATGACGGTGTATTGCTGGTGATGTTGCATATATGGTCATGAATGCCGTTCTGTCTGCTGCAGGATGGTGTGTGTGCTCGCGCTGGTCTTGTCCGTCGCAGGAAGTGGTGTCAAAGTGCCAGATAAGCCCCGCCTCCCGAACTTTGTCCTGATCATGGTGGATGACCTGGGCATCGGGGACATCGGCTGCTATGGAAACCACACCATTCGGTTAGTCCATACAGTTTTATATCCGACCTCGAACCGAGTCCGACACAGTTCAAATTAAAACATAAACATTTATTAATATAAGATTTCATGTAACACTGTGTTTTGGTGTTTAATAACACGCTGAGGCGGCTTCTTACCGTAAGCCTTGATTTTAAACTGTGTTAAATGTGCTTGTTTTCTAAATAAAGAGGTCTTTTATAATAATTTCCTTTGGAGGACAAAATACTTGGTGTCATTAGGACCTGTCTCCTCTGGCCCAAACTCCGCCTCACAGTCCCATGTTGAATCTGGCCCATCGGTGAGAGATGGAGCTGAGGTCATCTTCTCCATATCTGGATTCACAAAGACAATATAACAATATAAACACAGGATCATAAGAAAGCGCTAATCCGAGGATTTTTTCAGCCCAAAATTGCGAGTGCGACACAAACGGTTGCTTATCTAGAGAAGTTTACTTTCAATGTAAGTCAATAGAGCCAGAGCGTGTTGGAGCAAAATTTCGTCCCTGAGCACTTCCCTATTGGGCTTCATTGAGCTTAGCGTTGTCCATCTGTATACAGTATATGCTCTTAAACGGAAGTTCTTCACTGAAAATGGACTTCACCACTGCACTTATTTGTTTATCAGCATCCATTTTCACTCCAAGGTTTGAAACTATGGGCTTAACAAATTGTGTTAGAGGTCCCAGGTTCACGGAGCTACTGCTGCCATCGCTGGGCCCGACCAGCAGAACTTCACTCTTCAGATATGCACTCCAGAAGTTAGGTGCTGCAAAAGTTCTTGTTACGCTTATGGGCCACATACAGTAGATTTGGCTTTCATCTGCGTACAGGTAGAAGGACACCCCAAACCTCTAAAGGATAGCTCCTAATGGCAACAGATACAATGAAAACAGGAGTGGCCCACGTATAGACCCTTGCGGCACCCCACACGACAGGGGGGCTGTGGAGGAAACAGAGTCACCAACTCTCACACAGAAAATTTAAGACCAAGAACACCTTTCTATAAAGAAGATTTCAGATTCTATGACCAAAGAGATTACAGAACTGTTATGCATTTCCCTTCCATATGAGATTAGGCACTAGGCATTAGGATTTCGTGAATCTTCAAACATGAAAGTTTAGACTTTGCTTATGTATTACTTTTATTATATCATGTGACTTCAATGACCAGTGAGTTTTATTAAGGTACCCAAAATGGTACAATAAAAAAATCAATTTACCAAATGGGAGATTTCATTAAGGACAATGAACATATGAGGCGTGTTCTGAATATAGGAATAAACGGGACTCTGATCAGTTAACAAGATTCAGATTCAGATTCAGTTTTATTTGCCATTTGCAGTAAAAAAAAAACACATTGGAATACATTAGCAAAAAGTCACCAGTGTGCACAGACAAATACAGACATAACACAACATTAAAAGACAGAAATAAAACAAATAAAACAGTAAACAAATGTCACTGTGAAATCGATCGACTAAAACAGTTCAAAACAAGTGCAAATCATTAAAGTGCTCTGTTCACACTGATAACAGCTTGTGGATAAAAACTGTTAGCGTAACGAGATGTCTTCTGCCAGAGGGAAGAAGCTGGAACATGGCTTTCCCAGGGTGGCCAGAAGAGTCATTGACAATCCTCAGAGCTTTGTTTAAAAGTCTGGATTTATAAAGAACCTCCAGAACAGGAAGCTCACAGCCCACGGTCCTCTTTGCAGAGCGGAGCACCTTGTTTAAAGCTCTCTTTTCTTTATCTGTGATGTTTCCAAACCACACAGACACAGAACCAACAAGTAAACTCTCAATGGTGCAGCGATAAAAGTTAAGCAGAATCTTAGAGTTAGTTGTAAATTCTCTAAGTTTACGCAGAAAGTAGAGACGCTGACGAGCTTTCTTAAGGACTCGGTCAGTGTTTTTAACCCATTTCAGGTCGTTAGACAGAGTTAAACCCAGAAACTTGCACTCCTCTACGATCTGCACCTGGGAGTTGTCGATTACGACAGGCAAATGAGAACTATTGCGACTGAAGTCAAAGACCAGTTCACATGTTTTCGATGCGTTCAACTGGAGGTTGTTAGTTTTACTCCACTGAACCACATTTTGTATCTCTGCTCTATAAGAGGATTCATCATTGTTACTGATGAGACCGATGATGGTGGTGTCATCAGCATATTTGATGATCAAGTTTGAGTCAGAGGAGGACACACAATCGTGAGTGTACAAAGTAAAAAGCAAAGGACTCAAAATACATCCCTGAGGAGAACCAGTGCTCACAGAAACAACATCAGAAAAACAGTCATTGATTTTCACTCTCTGAGATCTGTCTGAGATTAAGATTAAGAGATTCTTTATTCGTCCCACAGTGGGAAAATTCCAGTGTTGCATCACAAGTTATAGAACAGTAGGAAAGACACAAGCTAAGTGAACAATAGCTTTAAAATGAAACAAAATCTCTAAATCGAGCATCAATAACAAGTATAAAAACTCCATCCATCCATCTTCTTCCCCTTAATTCATTTCTGGGTCGGGGGGGTGGCAGTCAGATCTGCATCCAGTACACAGAGCACCAGCCCCTCATCCTCCTGCAGGTGGTGAGTCCACAGGAGCTGAGATCTTTCAGCGGGGGCTTCAGGGCATAGTGGGGTGAAGTGTCTTGTCCAAGGACACAACGACAGCAGTCATCAGTGGGAGTCGTAAAGTAGATGATTGGGGATGAACCCACAACCTTCAGACCCAAAGGCCAATGCTCTACCAACTGAGCCACTGTCGCCCACCAGATCAATCAGACTGACCACGTTCTCTCAGATCAGACTGATCATGTCCCTCAGGACCACATGAGGCACACTGACCATGTTTCTCAGGACCTCCCTCAGTCTGATCTGAGAGGACATGGTCAGTCTGATAGATCTGAGAGGACATGGTCAGTCTGATCTGAGAGGACATGGTCAGTCTGATCTGAGAGGACATGGTCAGTCTGATAGATCTGAGAGGACATGGTCAGTCTGATCTGAGAGGACATGGTCAGTCTGATCTGAGAGGACATGGTCAGTCTGATAGATCTGAGAGGACATGGTCAGTCTAATAGATCTGAGAGGACATGGTCAGTCTGATAGATCTGAGAGGACATGGTCAGTCTGATCTGAGAGGACATGGTCAGTCTGATAGATCTGAGAGGACATGGTCAGTCTAATAGATCTGAGAGGACATGGTCAGTCTGATAGATCTGAGAGGACATGGTCAGTCTGATAGATCTGAGAGGACATGGTCAGTCTGATCTGAGAGGACATGGTCAGTCTGATCTGAGAGGACATGGTCAGTCTGAATTTGTTATTGTTTTTTCTTCCAGTAAGCCACAGAAAGTTTCTGGTTGCACCAGTTTCCAAAGCATAAGCCATGGCATATGTTAATAGGCTCTGCTAAGGCTGCTTAAGGATCCTGCAAACTGCCGAATGGTTACGAGTGAGATGTATAGATTACATCCTCCTGTTTTTGTCCTAGTCATAACCTTATAAAATAAGGTTAAAATGCAAAAGGCGTTACAATAGTCCAGCCGAGTCGTAACAAAAGTGTGAATCAAAATTTAAACACTTTGCCTTGAAAGGGAGGACTTCATTTTAGCAAGTTGCCTTAACACATGCAGTCTCACTCTCAGCCCGCAGTGGAATGACAGTGATGATTGATGATGCTTATGTCTTTTGATTTTTCTTCCCCTTTCGTGGTCTGTCCATTCTCCCTAAACCTGGTCCTGTCCTACATCCCTCCCTGGTCTGTCCTCCCTTCCTCCTGGTCCATCCACCCTTACTCTGTCCCCGCTCCCCTCCTTCCTCCCTTTCTCTCTCTCCTCCTCCCTGGTCAGTCCACCATGGTCTCTCCCTCAATCTCTCTTTGTCTCTCTCCCTCCCTCTCCCCCCCCCCTCCAAAGGACCCCTCACATCGACCGTCTGGCCTCAGAAGGGGTCAGGCTGACTCAGCACCTCTCTGCAGCTCCTCTCTGCACCCCGAGTCGCGCCGCCTTCCTCACGGGACGCTATGCCCTGCGCTCCGGTATGTCCCGGTCTGATGTCCTCGTTCCTCTTCAGCATTAGAACTCCAGATCCATCCAAAGGTGTCCATCCACACCTACTGTATATGTTATCTGGAACTTCCAACTCATACCCCCACCCCTTCTGTTTAAAGAATATTATTTTTTTATCTACTGCAAATGTATACAGTATATATAAAAAAAAACCACAAGTAAGGAATCTTTATTTATATACCGCCTTTCACAGACCAGAGTCACAAAGCGGTTTACAATTGTTATTTTTGGGCATTTGGGCACACAGAGATGGGAGTGAGGCCAGTACAGGAGGCGCGTGCCAGAACTATTGAACATGTTTTTAGTGGTAGGGGAAACCTACGCAGACACGGGGAGAGTATGCAAACTCCACTCAGAAAGGCCCTAGTCCGGCCGGGATTCGAACCAAGGACCTTCTTGCTGAGAGGCGAGAGTGCTAGCCACTCAGCCACCGTGCCGCAGTGACACAACATGCATGTGTCACTGAAAAGTGAAAAAGAAAGGACCACCTTCACTCAGCCAATCAGCTTTCAGCTCAAAGAGTCAAAAAGTGACTCTAGTAAACTGAAGACAACATGTTGTCCGATTTGTTTGCAAAATTTGACTCTTTCTGTTGGAAAATCAACATGTATAAAAGGCATGTATGAAAAATCTCACAGAGGCTGTCTCAGTGTGATCTGACCCTGTGTCCCCTGCAGGCCTAGGCAGTGCAGGTCGGGTGCAGGTGCTGCTCTTCCTGGGGGGCTCCGGGGGCCTGCCTCCCTCTGAGACCACCTTCGCCAAGAGGCTGCAGCAGCAGGGCTACACCACCGGCCTCGTGGGTAAGATACTCTGGGCCGAAATGTTTTTGTGTTGAGTTATTTTGGAAAGGAATGGGTGAAACAGCTCCTCTGGATGACGCTGTAATTAAACTCAGCATCTCTCGTGAGGCGTAAACTCCCCAGTAACTGTTTGTGCCACACTCACCCTTTTGGGCTTAAAATGCAACTTTAGCTCTCGCTCTATTTATAAGACATAGTCTGGGATCGCGTCTTAAATTCAGACAGAAGACATGTTTTATTGTCAATGGTAGAGACAGCACGATCAAAGCACACGATCACAGATACAAGAGAATGCAAGTGTATTATACAGAGCGGAGGCATGGAGACCTCCAATCAGCAGCTGCCACGGTGCCATGTAGCTTGGCCTTCACATAGACAAAACAAGGGAAAAGTACTGGCTTCTGCACATTGATAGAATGATGAGTTTAACTTTAACAAAAGTTGCTTCAAAGTGTTTCATATTGTATTGTCTTTGTAAATCCAGATATGAGCCATATAAAGATTGACCAATCAGGTGCATTCATAAGCGGCGTAAACTTATGTGGAAGAAATGTCAATATAAGGACAGCTCCAGCTAGCTTATGTTCAAATCGTCCTTTTTCTGCATTAATGCTAACACTATTGTGACTCCAGCACTCGGCCAGTCCACTCCATCAGAAGAATTGACTGTATGATGCAATCCTACACGTACAAATAAACGCTGCACTGAAGTTGCTTTTTACTCAATGCGACAGCCTACTGTAGCCCTCTTCATAACTGCAATCTCCTATTTGCCGATATCCAGAACAGAACTGACTGTGGTGTCCTGTTCCAAAGACGCTACTCGCTACAAGAAGATAATTCTAAGTTAACTTTGTGTGGTTTGTCAGTAAACATAAAGAAGGTTATTCCAGTTATTGTAGAGATTAACAATATTCGAAACTTTATTGCATGTAATCAGTTAAAAACATCTGTTTAATTAATCAGTTTCTGTATTAAAACATAAAATAAAAAAATCCACAGAAAAGTCAAATTGGTGATCTCTAATAACTACTGCCTTATAAATTGCTAGAATTAAAGGCATAGTATGGAAATCAGACTTGGATATCCTTATTCTGCATTTGTCTCCAGTAGGTTAAACAACTGTAGCGGCCTACTCACTGGTCTCTCCAAACGAGCTGTAAATCACCTGCAGTACATTCAAAATGCTGCAGCTCAAGTCTTGACTAGAAGCAGTTAGTACTCTCACATTAATCTAGTTCTCAGGCCTCTGTACTGGCTTCCTGTGGCTCAGAGAATAAACTTAAAAGCTGCTTTTCTTGTGTACAAGTCTCTTCATGGCCTTGCACCAAGGTACAGGTATATAGTGCCAAATGACCAACTTGGTCTCTGAGGGGCACAGGGACTGGCCTCTTGCAGGGAGTGTATATTTTGATATGCTAATTGTTGGTTTTAAATGTTGTCATTGTGAAGCATTTTGAGTTGCATTTTGAATGAACTGTGCCTTACAAATATATTTTGATCGATAAATGTAAATCTTCGGAACGTGTTTTGGGTCGTCACTGTGTGTGCAGGGAAGTGGCATCAGGGCGTGAGCTGTCATCACCGGGACGATCACTGCCACCACCCGAACCAACACGGCTTCAGCTCCTTTTACGGCTTGCCCTTCACCCTGTTCAACGACTGTGTCCCGGGCCAGGGCAGTGACGTGCTGGCCGACCTCCAGTCCACCCTGCGCAGCCTCACTCTGCTGCTCGGGCTGGGACTGGTCACGCTGGTGAGTGCTCCTCAGCCGTCATTCAGGAGCTTTGGCTAATCGCTCAGAGGGTCAGAGCCAATGGACTACTGCCTGTTCCATAGACCGTATATAGATGCTAACTCGCTAGCTTAATAAAGCCCAGCAGTCAAGTGCTTATGTACACAGTATTGCTCCAACTCGCTCTGACTTCTATTGAAAAGTAAACTCCTTTAGCTCTGTAACTGTGTCAGAGTCACCATTTTGGTTGACAAATCTTAGCACGTTCTGGTGTTTATATTGTTTTTATGTCTCATGAGCCAAAAGGTTTGACCAATCAGGTGCTGTCATTTGCGAGGGAAACTCCAGCTCCTTAGCGACAGTCTTCATCAACATGGTGTGAATCTACCCCCGTCGGAACAAATGCCCATATAAGGAAATTGGCTCCAGCTAGCTTTTGTTCAAATCAACCTTTTCCACATTAAGATTCAGTTTATTTGCCATTTGCAGTAAAACTTCAATAGAATACTTGTGCAAGAGTATCCCAGTGTGCATACCAGGAGACTTGTCTATGCGCCATGTCTCGGCGCCATGTTAAGGCTAGCACATGGTGACGTCAGCACTTGGTCAGTTCACACTTAGTATACGGACTATGGTCCTTTTATTTGACATGTAAAATTGACTTTTCACAGATTAGTCCATGTTCTAGGAGATTTCCATTCTTAATTCCATGTTCAAAAGTGTGGATTTATAGAAAATAGATTTTTAGAAGACATAGAGTGTATGCACTTTTAAACCTTGGAGCATTTGTGGTGTTAAAAAAGCCTCATGTAGAAGTGTATCTGTCAGTGGTCTGGATTTAGAAGAATCCTTCCCCGTGTCCCACAGTCCATAGATTTAGAGTGTTTCATCTCCATCACGGCTCCGGTATAAAAACACAGGTCTTTAGTGTATGAATGCAGAGTCTCTCTGCCTGCAGGTGTGTGTGCGGCACTGCGGCCTGGTGGACCTCAGCCCCTCTCTGCTCCTCTTTCTCCTCTTCCTCCTCTTTTGCCTCGCCTCGGTGTGGGTGCTGCCGTTCACACTGCTGCGTCGCTGGAACTGTGTGCTGATGCGGGACGGAGAGGTGGTGGAGCAGCCCCTCATAGTGGAGACCCTGCCCCAGCGCCTGCTCAAGGAGGCCAAGGACTTCATCCACAGGTGGGCTGGGGATGGACCAGAGGGGAGCAGGGCTGGGGGAGGGTTAGAGGGACACTTCTGCAGTTTGATCTGGAGCAAAGCTACATTAGTGTGACATTATGTTCTAATGCTGGAGTTGGATATGGTTTTGGCACTGCAGAACACTCATCTCTCTCCTCTTCTCCCTCTCTCGCATCTCCTCTTTCCCCTCTCCACACCTCCTCTAACACAGTGGAGTAAAAAAATGGAATGAATTGGACGCAGAACTTAAAAAATGTCAAACATTATTCGAGTTTAAAAAAAGATACAAAGAAGTTATTTTTAATAAATATGTTCGTGAAGCATGCTAAAAACTTCCAAGCGCTAGGTTGCATTTGGTAAAGGGAGATTTTTATTTTTGTAAATTCAGAGTTGTAAGTAGGGGTGGGATTACACAAGTTTTTTTTAAACTTCCTCCCACTCCTATTTTGGACATCATTTGTTTGTCTATTTCGCTTAGTCAATGTAGAATTACATTGCTTTTGTTTTGTTTTCTCATTTTGAAACGTCCAAAATAAAATCATTCATCTTCATCAACACCTCCTCTAACACCTCCTCTTTCACCTCCTCCCACTCTCACCTCTCTTCTCTTTCCTCTCTCTTACCTGTCTTCTCTCCTCTCTTTCCTCTCTCCACACCTCCTTTCTTCTTATCTACCTCCTCTCTCCTCACTTCACTCTTTCCTTTCACCTCTCTCCTCCCTCTCTTGCCTCTTCTCTCTTTCCTCTCCCCACACCTCACACCTCTCTCCTCCCTCTCTCGCCTCTCTCCACACCTCCTCTCACACCTTTCTCTCCAGGAACCAGGATGGCCCCTTCCTGCTCTTCTTCTCCCTGGTGCACGTCCACATACCTCTCTTCACAAACCCTGACTTTATGGGCAGAAGTCTCCACGGTCTCTATGGCGACAACGTGGAGGAGGTGGACTGGATTGTAGGTCAGCCCCACACACTCTCACCTCAACCCTCTGGGGTCTTTAAGAAATCTACCAGTACGCTTTACTTAGTTTCCCAACAAAACAAAAACCAGCATAAAGAGACAAATTGTAATAAACAGCCCGGATTGTTTTTGTGTTTGTGTTTTTGAAGCCAATTTCCTTTTATGGGCATTTGTTTGGGCGGTCAGCGTTATGCCGAAACAGGGGCAGACGTGTTGGTTTGATGGTTGCTATGACAAGATGGAGTTTCTCCCACAAATGATAATATCACAATGTAAACACCAGGATCACAGAGAGCATTAAACTACCGATATTTAAGCCCAAAATGGTGAGTGGGATAAAAAACTGTTACGCAACAAGAGGTTTTTTCGTTTCAATGCAAGTCAATAGGAGCAATAGCAAAACTTGGAGAAAAACTTTGTCCTTGATAGACAGATAGATTGATACTTTATTGATCCCTCGTAGGAGAAATACAAGTGTCCAGCAGCAGCAGTATCCATCCATACGCACAAATCAATACATATTACAAGCAGTTCCCTATTGAGCTTTATTGAGCTAGCTGGTTTTGACTGGTTTGGACTTGTTTGATTTGTGCAGGCCAGGTGACGCAGACCATAGATTCGCTGGGCCTGTCCAACCACACGCTCATGTACTTCACTTCGGACCATGGGGGACACCTGGAGGACCGTGACGCCACAGGGCAGAAGGGCGGCTGGAACGGCATCTACAAAGGTCTGCAATTGACCACTCACAGACAGTGGTCCGACCAATCTGACCAGATGTGCCAAACCATCCTTACAGTCAAATGTTTTAAAATGAGATTATTGTTGTTGTTAGTCTTTTTGTGAATTTATTTCAACCCTTGTTTTGAGCTTTATCGTCTCCCCACCCAATCTGTATGCTCCATTATCAATTATCATTGGACTATGACGTTTTCTGCCTTTTAAAATAATAACAATGTTAATTTGGGGAATTTATCTGTTCAAATGGATTTTTGTACAACTTAATCAAATCGGACAATGATAAGTTTAATTCCCAAAAATACATGTCTTGTGTCCTGTGCAGGGGGGAAGGCCATGGGGGGCTGGGAGGGGGGGATCCGGGTACCTGGAATCTTCCGCTGGCCCGGGACGTTGCCCCCCGGCAGAGAGGTGCACGAGCCCACCAGCCTCATGGACCTGTACCCCACACTCAAGCACTTGGCTCGGGACACAAAACCTGACAGGTACCATCCTCAATGCCCCCTGAACTTCTGTCTAAATGCTCTGTTTTCAAACTCTACACCGGGATAGGGCTCTTTGTGTGTTTGTCTGTGTGTGTGTGTGTGCGTGCGTGCGTGTGTGTGTGTGTATTTGCACATCTCTGTGTGTGCGCCTATGCATACCTGTGCAGGCCTGTGTGTGTTTGTGTTTATGCCTCTGTGTGTGTGTTCGTGTTTGAGTGTATGTGTCTGCCTGTTGTCTTTGTGTGACATGTGCCTCCGTTGTGTGTGTGTGCGCACGCAGACTCTTGGACGGTCATAACCTGATGCCTCTCTTGGATGGGACATCCCAGAGCTCTGAGCATGAGTTCATGTTCCACTACTGCGGGAAATACCTCCACGCTGTCCGCTGGCGTCCCCCTGGAAGTCAGTGCAATTTCTCTTTCACTGTACACATCTTACAGGGAATTTACACAGAACGCGTTGGCCGCGCGTAACATTATTTGGCTGTATGTCCACTGGCCGTGCGCGCAGGTCCGTGGCTTCTGATGCTCTCCCTGTGTAGTCTATGGAGCAGTGTAGAGGACAGTACGGGGCAGAGGACTGATGTAGAGCAACACAAATCAGACGCATGTGTTTGTCTTCATGGTCTCTGAGCGCTGGTTTGGCCAGACGCCAGACTTTATGAAAGAAAAAAAACGATGTCTAGAATCACTGTAAAACCTGCTGCTCCTCCTGCTAATGTTTAGATACTGCTAAGTGCTTTGTGTGTGTAGATGCGATCTAGAGCCAAGGGCTGCTAGAAAAATCATGTTTCACATGTTTTTTCAATGGGAGACGTGTTGCTGCGCGCACAAAATTAGAAATCCATCCTAAATTTGTCGCAGCCTCGCGTCATACGTCCGTCATACGCGCGTATAACACTAGTAGTGTAAATATTGTATTGTATTGTATTGTATGTACTTTATTTGAACAGGGACAGTGTACAGTTAAGCATTAACACAAAAGGAGAGATGCATATACCAGGTTATAGCAGAGATGCTAATTTCCACCTGTAGTCCCTGGGCAGGCTGGTGTTATGTTCATTTAAACTGATTACAATGTAGATGGATACATGACTGTGTCTTACATTTACAGGCTTTAAATAACATAATTCACAAAACATTAAGTTTAATAACAATAAATAAAGCTCCCCAATTTCTACTAGAATATTACACTCACTCACTCACTCACTTGTGCGTGCAAACTTGCTTTTTCAGAAGCCATTTCTTAGTCAGCCAAGTAGTAGTACTGTAGTAGTAAGTAATCTTTATTTATATACCGCCTTTTCACTGCACATCGGAGTCTCAAAGCGGTTTACAATTGTTATTTTTGGGAGTGGGGCCAGTACAGGAGGCACATGCCAGATCTATTGTACATATTTTTAGTGGTAGGGGAAACCAGAGCACCCGGAGGAAACCTACGCAGACACGGGGAGAACATGCAAACTCCACTCAGAAAGGCCCTGGTTCAACCGGGATTTGAACCCAGGACCTTCTTGCTGAGAGGCGAGAGTGCTATCCACTCAGCCACCGTGCCGCCCAGCCAAGAAAATGATCGCCATCGTCTGCTGCGCGTTTAACGCGTACGTGCTGTAACGCCTCCTGTGTAAATTAGCAGTTACGCCACCTCTGCTCAATGATCTGAACCATGTTACTGGTGCTGTTTTTTTATAGTGTGGGTCTCTTTCTTTGAGTAATTCTTTGGTAATTGCCCCAATTTCCCTTGACTTGGCGTTTGTGTTAAGTATTTAGTGATAGTTTCTCAAAACATATTTACATTTGAACTTGTGTGTGTGTGTGTGTGTGTGTGTGTGTGCAGGTGACTCTGTGTACAAAGCCCACCTGTTCACCCCTAACTTCTCCCCGGGGGGCGCTGTGGGCTGCTACCACACCCATGTGTGCATGTGCCACGGCGAGTATGTGACCGCACAGACTCCGCCCCTTCTGTACGATCTGAGCAGAGACCCCTCGGAGTCCCGGCCCCTGAGCGCACAGAGCGAGCCGCGCTACCACGAGGCCCTGCGGCGCATGGAGCAGGCTGTGCACGCACACCAGGACACGCTGAGGGCCCATGTTCACCCCGAGGGCCCCTCTGCTCAGCTGTCCTGGGGCCACGTGCTCTGGAGACCCTGGCTCCAGCCGTGCTGCGGGACATTCCCCTTCTGTGCCTGTGAGGAGCAGGTGCACAGTGCTGACTGAGCTGAAGCAAGGCAAGTTCATTTGTTTAGCACAGTTCATAGACAAGGCAACTAAAAGTGCTTATCAAAATAAAAGAGAAAATTATAGATAATAACTATATAGAGTGATGATACAGTCTGTTTTTACGATTTGAACTGTTTTCAACCTGGATTTGAGTAGAAGCCTGTCTCACATTTTCAGGAAGACAGTTCCAGCTCAATAGCGTATGATAGCACTGACACTGATATGTCACTGACCTCCTCTGGCCTCCTCCATCAGCGCTGTCCCTTCACCGCCTCAGATCCACCGATTCCAACCTTCTCACTCCCATCAGAACAAAGTGCCAAACCCTGAGGGATCGTCTAAACCCTGCAGGACTGAGCCTTCACAGCTGCTGCACCTACTCTCTGGAACTCTCTCCCACAAAACATCAGGAACTCGGACTCACTTAAGAACTTTTGTTCCAAATTGCCTGCACATAACTGTTTAGTTATGTATCTTTTGTTTCATTTTAAAGTATCTTTTAGTGTACAAAAAGTGCTATATAAGTACAAAATGTTATTATCATCATTATTTGATATTATTATTATATGAAAGACATAAATATATGTAAATACACAGTGAGTTTTGACTTGAGTTCAGATTGACCTGTTTACAAACATTTGAATTATATAATTCACTAGAGGAGTGGGTTGGCAAAACGGCAAATTTTTATTATTTATTCTCAAAATTAAGTTCAAACATCCAGCAGATTTCTCGTTCAGCCAAATCTATTATTCTATTTATGAATCTACTTTAGTATAAAAGTTTATTTCTAACTTTAAAAAAAAATAAAGAATTTAGGAGAAGAGGAGAGAGGACCAGTATCAGGTAGAGAGGAGAGTGGACCAGTATCAGGGGAGAGGAGAGGGAGAGGGGAGAAGAGAGAGGACCAGCATCAGGGGAGAGGAGAGGGAGAGGGGAGGAGAGAGGACCAGCATCAGGAGAGAGGAGAGGGAGAGGGGAGAAGAGAGAGGACCAGCATCAGGGGAGAGGAGAGGGGAGAAGAGAGAGGACCAGCATCAGGGGAGAGGAGAGAGACCTGCATAAGACACTGAAAAAGCTTTGTTCATTGTAGATAATCTTTTGTTTATGCTTATTTAATAATGAGGATAATTGAATAATTGGTGAATGAAGATGCTCAATGTTTATGGACCAATGTATTATAGTGAACAATGTTGTTATTATTATTATTATTATTATACATTATTTAAAACATTAAAGGTATATAGGATGATTTCCTACTCCTTGGTGGATCATTCACCCAATTGTCAATCATTCTGCTGATACGTACACGTCAAATAAGAGTTTTATTTAAAAAGTGGAGAGGGTGGTTCTCTCCAAAAAATTGGGAAAATCCCCCCATATACCGTTAAGCCTGGAATGTTCGGAATAAAGATAATAATATCCCTCTGGTTGTGGAGGAATTACTGGTATACCCTTATTTTGTATTTTGTTTAATTCAATCTATAAAGCATCAAGACTGTAAACGCTGTCACAAGTTTTTTAATACAAGTTATTTTCACATTCATAATTCCAAAATCTGTGAAAGTAGCATAGTTATTATCTGAACGCAACTTGTTCCTTCTACAACATCCTTTTAGCTCAATCTAAATATTTCCTAGGAACGACAGAGGACCACAAAAGTAACATTATTAATAATAGGTAATAGTCAGCGATTTCACAGAGAGACTTTGGCTCCAGAGCCACGCCCAGGAGCTAGGGCAGAAAACATACAGTGGTCCATCATTTCACCTTTTGTGGCCTCGATGTTCCGCAGATTTTTTTGTTCGCAATTGTGTGTGTGTTTTTTACAGCGTGGTTCTCATACTCATACTACTGTGGGCACCATGGTGATTAGTTCAGAGGACTATTGCAATAGTTCTCTGAAAAAAAACTTGTGAAAAATAACAGTTTTAGAGCCAGAAACTTAGTGACATTGACTGTTTTATATTGTTTATCTATATTTCTGTAGTCCTGCTCCTGTCCCTCCGTGCGGTGTCCTCTGCAGCTTTATTTTACTGTGTATGCACAACCTACAAGTTTAGTATCTCTGTGACCGCACTCCAGCAGTCGTGAGTTCAGATGGCAAGAAAAGTGTATGAAGTGTGTGAGAAGTTTTACAGCCTTACAACATTGAACTGCTACTTCAAGAATTTGACTTGTTTTAACTGCAGCAAACAAAGGACCACTGTACTTCAAGAAGAAATTTTCTCTACTCCGATAAACGGTTGAGAAATGAGCTCTAATTGTTCCAGTGGAAGCCAACACTGGTAGACGTCAGCCCTCAGCTCGTCCGCTCCTACTACTTGTCCCGTGTCATGAGTAAGTAGGTAAGTAACATTTATTTACATACTACATTTCGCAAACCAGGGTCACAAAAAGCACTTTACAATTCTTGTTGAACCGGTAATTTCCATTTTCTCCACACACAATGATGACAGAAGTGAGGCAAACACACCAGTGCATCAAAGCCTCTGACCATCACCATCCATCCTCTCTTTCATTACATTCATTCTTATTGTACATGTTTCAGTGGCAGGGGACACTGGGGCAAACGCTAACCACTGCACCAGACTGAGTTAAGAGTCCAGTTCGAACCTCAGTCCTTCGCTGCCCTGAGCTCCTGGTGTTCACCTCCTGCTGTGATGGTGGAGCCTAGGTCCGGGTCTGGAGCAGGTCTCTTCTCCTGAGTCTCCTCATGATGCGAGGCCCCCTGATGCACCTCCTCCAGCATCAGCAGATTGATCATGGAGTCGGCCACAGCCTCCCGTAGCTCGTCCTCCGATTCTTCAAAGTTACTGACAAAGACAATTTATTTTAGGTTAAAAATATCCCCACTGTGGGACAAATACATGATCTCTCTCTTAAATAATTACAGATGTGTCTGGTACAGATGAAGTGTAGCTAAAGCTGGATAATACACATGCTGTCTACCTCTTATTAGGAAACACTTTTGTGTAAGAAAGTTCCTTGTGAGACACTATTTGACTCTTTGGGCTGAGAGCTGATTGGCTGAGTAAGGATGGTCCTCTATTTCTCACTTTTCTGTCTGAAAATATAAAACATGTGAAAAAAGAACGGTTTTAGAGCCAGAAACTGAAGACGGGTACTCCAGCTTTAAACCTGCTTAGGATAACAGTATGCAGTATTGGATCCTACTAGTTGTAAAATGTTCTTACAATTACAATCTAAACTTTAGATACTTGTGGTCAAATGTTCATGTCTTGGGATTATTGAGGTAAACAGGGATATCTGGTAAGTGGTCAGCAGTAGTAAAAATGTTTATTTTATTTGCATAGCACTGTTGGCCTCACGTGTCGTCATCGTCAGACCGAGGCTCCAGTCGCTCTTCATCACTCTCCACCTCGAACTCCTCCTCCTCTTTCTCTGGTTTTGTGTCGTGCTGCTTCAACTTCTCAATTTCTGTCAAATAAAAGGAAAGTTGTTCACATCTTGGGTCTACAGCCTCAGCCCTGGGTCTACAGCCTCTGTTGGATCTACAGCCTCAGTCCTGGATCTACAGCCTCAGTCCTGGGTCTACAGTCTCAGTCCTGGGTCTATTGCCTGTTCGTCCGTGGGAGCGAATCCCTATTAGTTTGGGCTTCACCCGAGATTTGACATACTTTTTTTCCCCCACTAGGTTTTTTTCAGTTGTTACTTGCCGAGGATCAGTGATGAATTTAAGATGTTTTTTTTTTTTTTTACAGTTAGGACAGTGGTTATTTTCCACTCTATGGATCAATAACTCTTATGCATTTTTGTTAGTTTTGTATTTACTGTGTTCGAACGGTTTGGTTCTCTGATCTGTTGAATTGAAAACTTTGCAATGTTCTCGAACAGTCAATTGCTGTTTGAGGACATTACAAAGTTGTTGTGATTTAGGGCTATTGAGCTATCATATGAGAAGGCTCCGAGACACAGTGCTAGTAAAAATGTAAATAGTAAAAGTAATTTTTTTCACCCTCATTGATTGATAATTTTACAAGTGCGTTCACATCATAGACTTTGCATGCATGTTTGTGCTGAGTTGTGGCGCCCCCCAGTGGTGCAGACCTGCAGTGACAGATCCCAGGGTGGACTGGAGGACCGCAGCCTGTTCCAGATCCTCGAGGAGAGACTTATGAATGCCTTTGGTCCAGTGTCTGCGGAACTCTTCATCCTCTCCTGCAGACAGACATGACAAAGAACACAAATGTAATTCAATATGATTCTGAAGGGGCTGCTGGTTTGGTCCAAACCATTCTAGTCCTGGATTCATTTTAATGTTATTTTATTTTTGTGACCTGAATATTAGAGCCGCCTTACACCAAGATGCATTTTATTAGGCTGCATTAATGCGACATCACATCATTCCAAAGAGCCCATAGATTTAAATGAAGGTCTGAAACCTTTTTCAAATTTGAAGATGTATAGATATTTTTCAATTTTTTTGGACACAATTAATTCAAATCCTTGAAAAACAGCTCCCCATTGGTCTAATTATTCCCATCAAGCAAATGTTATCGGTGATTGTAATTCCAAGGGGAGAGACTAAATAACTACTCAGGACAAATTCTGTATTGAAATTATAATACAGGGTCATATGGTCAAAACCATAGTATAATTCATAATATATTTGTGTTAAAATACAAAACACAAATGTATTTCTTAAATAAAGAAATACATTTGTGTTTGAAGAAATCACCTTTCACATTGTGGAGGAGGGCAGCTGAAAAGTCTAACCTTGGTAACTATGGTAACTGTCAAAAAGAGCTCAAGTCTTTGTAATTCCTGGAACAACCCATAAGAAATAAAAACTGTCAAAGTTCCACATCTTTCTATGTCAGCAGATATCGACTCTGGTCTCATTTTTCTCATAAAGGTGTGTAGAAGTGGTGAATGGTGGTGAATATTCAAAAACATATGATGATGTTGGTCAGAGGAGAGGACACCAGACATAAGAATAACATGACAGGTTTGTGAGCCTAATCAGTATCTGGGAAAACCACCATTTCTTTTTCAACCGTTGTCTGACAAATTGCTTCTTTCCTAATGACTTGTATCGTCACCGGCAACAATACTGAAAGACAATTCATGAACCTATTATAGGTGTTCCATTTGGCCCTGCACAGGATCTTGAGAATATTCTTATGTAAACATCACCTTGTTCAGTGTGCTGGGTCCAGGCCGTCGCTGTCATCACCTCCATGTTGTCCAACGCGCCCAATAGAGTTTCAGGGACTCTCTGGCTCCACCCCCTCCTCTGCTCCAGCCAATCACAGAGCTGCAGCTGCTGTCCATGCTCAAAGCTCAACGTCTGGTTGAGAGAGTCAATTTCCTGCAAACAAACAACTATTATGTATCTTATAGTTTTAAAGTTATTATATAACTCATAAAATCTGATTTCTTTTGTTTTCTGATTTAGTATTTTCTATGATAGTGTATTGCCATCTGTTTATAATTAATATATGATTCAACATTTTGTGGATGACTCACTGTATATTATTGACATTTGTATAGTGATCCAAGAAAAACAGGTCCATTTCGTGTGATCTATATAAGTCATGAAAGATAAATATAGTAATTGTATAACAGAAGCTGTGAGAAGTTCTTCCTGCCCAGAACAAAGCCACCACACAGCTTTTTAAGTCCAGGAACAAACAGGAGGGGAGAGAAGAAAGAAGAAGGAGAGGTGAGTGGAGAAGACAGGGAGAACAGACTCTGATCAATTACTTCATGACGACACTAAAAACCTACATAAATCTGAAACCACCTGCAGTGCGGCAGTGTCTGAATGTTATTGATCTGAAATTAAGTGAAGACAACAAACTTTCCTCTACACTCACCTCTTCTGGCAAGGAAGCGGTCTTCTCTTCTTTATCTTTCGTCTCTTCCTCGACTTCATTCAGTCTGATCTCAAACATGATTCCTTTCTGCAAAACACATATTGACATCTTTTAAATCCCACGACTGAGGTTAATTGATTAATTTGGTTATTTATTGATGGATCGGGTTTTGAACCACGAGCATGGTAATTGTTTAATCAGCAGAAGAAGAAATAATTGTTCACTCTCAGACACTGAGCTGTATCATATAGTGTTTAGGGAACATATACAGTCACTGCAAAGCTAAAATTTTAAATCCTTTTAAAATACAAGGCTATAAATTATATGGCTCCCTCCTACCTCCAAGCCATGTTTAGTATCATATCAACCAAAAAAAGAACTGCACTTGCAAAACACAGACTTCTGGTGGTTCCTAGAGAGTCAAAAAGCACAGCAGGAGGCAAAGAGTTTAGCTCCCAAGATCCAGTACTGTGGAATCAGCTCCTCATCCACGTTAGGGAAGCAAACACAGTCTCTTCATTCAAGGACAGGCTTAAAACAGTCCTCTATAATTCAGCATATGGTAACCAGAGCACCAGCTTCTCCTTTTCCTATTTTCTTTGTCGCCATTATGACTTCAGCTGTAGTCTGTTCATTGCTATTCATCTGCTGTCCCATTGTCTGTTTATAGTATATTTGCTGGTGTTTTGATCTGCTAAATTGCTTATAGAAATTGTCCCATTTCGGCAAATGGGACACCCCCTCCTTACTCCCTCCTCACTTCCTCCCTTGTCTTTTCTGGCTCAGTCCCCCCCATGGATCCATCATAATAACGGTCCCCCCTTACCCAGTCCCCTCTGGCCGCCCACGGGCACGGTGGCTGAGTGGATAGCACTCTCGCCTCTCAGCAAGAAGGTCCTGGGTTCGAATCCCGGTCGGACCAGGGCCTTTCTGAGTGGAGTTTGCATGTTCTCCCCGTGTCTGCGTAGGTTTCCTCCGGTTGCTCCGGTTTCCCCTACCACTAAAAATATGTACAATAGGTCTGGCATGCGACTCCTGTTCGGCGACCCTGCTCCCATCTCTGTGTGGAGTGAGAGGACAAGTGCCCAAAAATAATAACAATTGTAAACCGCTTTGTGACTCTGGTCTGTGAAAGGCGCTATATAAATAAAGATTACTTACTTACTACTACTTACTACAACTTACTAGGGTCGCTGGGAGTTGATATCCTAAAAAAATCCGTCCTTGTCCAAGACATACTGGCCCTCATTTATGAAACTTGGGTGTAACAGGGTGTAAATGAGGCGCATCAGAAAATGTCTGATAACTGTGTTGTAAACTTCGAATACAACACAGTTCATGCTGAGGACCCTCTTCTGTTTCTTCGTTTTCAAATCTGACTTGTATGTGTATTATTTTCATCTGTATGATTTTTAAATGTGAAGCGCTTTCTGATCCTGGACTGTGAAAGGCGCTATACAAATACACTTGACTTACTCACTAACTCTATAGCAGGCCCTGCGCTGCGTAATTATGCATATGTTTTGCCTCATTCACCTCTGGCAAAGCAATGCGTTTTTTCCTTAGCTTTGTGCATAAAACCCCATGAACGATGGTCTTGCTCACTCAAAACTGTCTTAGCCACTGCCCTGTCTCCACATGTAGCAGAGATAGGATGCAATGCGCTTATCTGTAGCACGGGCAGTGGCTCTGGGGCAGTGCGCAGCAGGTGCCAGGAGAGGTCCCACCACATCACTGCTCAAATGTGGTCATACGTATCTTTCTCTCTCACAGAGATCACTCAGATGCCTCACCCGGTTAATGATGAGAGTCACCGCTGAGGCCGAGATGTTAACATTCATTCATTCATTCATTCATTCATTCATTAATTTATTTATTTATTTACTTATAAAGTTGAGGAAAGAGGAGTGCTGCAGTGGGTCTAGGCAATAGGGAAAAAATGGGTATATATTATTGCGTATATTTATGCTATAATATAAACAAACGTGAATAAACTCAGAAGTGCATGGCAAAGGCTTTTTGAGGCTTCCAAACAGTCTTCTTGGCCAACTTCCATGCTGACTTGTCGTAAAAACGGGGCGTGAAACGAGCGTTTTCTGAATATTTATAGGCGTGACTTTCATAAATACGCTAGTTTTGACCGCGTCATTTATCAACAGCCACAGCTGCGTACGCTCAGATCTGTGCGGATCTCACACGTTCATAAATCCGGCGTTGGCTCTTACGTATTTGGAATATACACCCAAAATATACACTCTTTTCTGCGCAAGTTTCATACATGAGGGCCACTGTCTATCCAAACTGTCCATGTGAAATGTTTGTTCCTGCCCTCTGCTGTTAATTTTACTATTTGTTTCATGGCGCCGTAAAGATGGCCCATACCATCTCAGTACACGTCTATGACTAAGGACACAACAGTTTGTCGCTTTAAAACTGCAACCACCCCATATAGACAAAATACATGTACATTATCATAGCAACTCATAACGAGTATCACAACAGGGCAACAGGCCTCTTCAGCTGGTGACTACAGAAAGGAGGTGTGTAATAGGATTACCTTTTCCCTTAAACAAGGATCAAAGATCACAACAGCAGCCTCTTCCCCGTTCAGATTACTAAATTACTTCTAGATGATTGAGCATGGAGGAAGGTATTACACTTGATGAGTCTGATGTGTACAAATGCATCTATCACCTTGCCCTGCTGCCTTTTGTCGCTTTTGGACTCTGTGGGCTCCAATCCGATCTGCTTCAGAGCTGCTTCAACATCCTGCTTCAAAGACACACGTTACACTCACTCAGGCCTTTGTCTCAGGTCTTTTCTGTGTTTGTCTGTTGGACCTGCTTTGGGGCTTGTATCCTCTGTCCTACAGCTGGACACCCAGCTTCTCGCTGTTTCTCCACCACAAACGTCTCGTGCTTATTCTGCACTTGAACCTGGGACAATGAAAATTAAATCACCATTTGTTAAATACAAGTATCCAAAAGTAAACATCTGTGATTTGTATGACCCTGGCGTTTATATTTTTATTAGGACTTGTCTAATGTAAATACAGATATGAGCTTGAACAACAGAGCCTTTAGTCCACAAATTGGGCTTTGGCCAGCGAATAACATGAGCAGTAACAAGGCAGTCTCACTTATGATTGGCTCTTTGGTTGCTAGGTTGTTGCTACCCATGATTTGGCTTCAGACTCCCATCCAATGGAGCCTGTAAGTTTGCTTTGTATTTTTTTTAGCAAACACTAGGGTGACGTCAATTTATAGTGATTAGTTTTGACAGGACGTCAATTACATGAGCAGTGTATATTGTTACACTATTTTAGATTAATATATAGAGCGCAAACTGCAAAACACTTTATGTAGGATAGACTAAATCAGTGTTCCCCAACATTTTTCATTGAAAACCATTACATGTCACACCACTAGCTGAAACAAAAATGGAACTCTGCAGCCTTTATTAACAAAGCAAAGTCCATCCATCCATCCGTCCATTTTCTTCCCCTTAATCCATTTCTGGGTCAGGGGGGGTGGCAGTCAGAGCTGCACCCAGTACACAGAACACCAGCCCCTCACTGATGCTCCTGCAGGTGGTGAGTCCACAGGACTTGATCTTTCAGCAGGGGCTTCAGGCAAAGTAAAGTCATTCTCATCAAAGTGTATTATATAGAGACTCAAAAATTTCTTTCATCTAAGTCAATTGTTTTCTTTTTACAATATTTTGACCATTGTTTGGACCATTTCCAAAGGCACACTAAACATTATCTCAAGCCACACTATTGAACCATGGCACACTGGTTGAAAAGCCCTGAGCTAGACTTTAATATTGAATTGACCCACAAAGTAAAACATAGAAACAAGCTTCTGGAAAGAAGCACAACACAAAACAAGTTGTGCACATGATTGCTCAGTCCAACAGACCTCAGCCTCAGCTCTTAGCTTCATCTCCTTCATGTCCTGATGATACTGCTGTCGAATCTGCTCCAGTTGCTGCAAATACTCCTAGAAATAAAACAGCATAAAGAGGTATGGTATTCTCTCTAACGCTCTATCGCTCCTTTAAAACACTCACACTGGACTTGTATTAAAAATTAAGAATTTATGCAAAAAACAAAATGTCAAAGGGGCCGAGATATGACAGAGGGCTAGATATGTTGAATCTGAATTACCGGCCCTAAATATTAGCGCTCATGATTCACCTATTATTTTCACTGCACAATGTCTGGAGAAATTTGATTGGAGTGAGTATTTTGAGTAACTGTAGCCTGTGCTTTTATTGCCGCATGTTCTTTTACTTGTTGTCCGTTGCGTTGGTAACGAGGAGAGTGTTGTTTTGGTTCTATGTCGCTCTCGTGACCTCCAGCTCTGCGGGGGCACTCTGCTGTGGATGGACGAAGACCCTGAGGACCATAGACATACAGTGGGGCAAAAAAGTATTTAGTCAGCCACCGATTGTGCAAGTTCTCCCACTTAAAATAATGACAGAGGTCTGTAATTTTCATCATAGGTACACTTCAACTGTGAGAGACAGAATGTGAATTTTTTTTTAAAGAATTTATTTGTAAATTATGCTGGAAAGTAAGTATTTTGTCACTTCAAACAAGGAAGATCTCTGGCTCTCACATACCTGTAACTTCTTCTTTAAGAAGCTCTTCTGTCCTCCACTCGTTACCTGTATTAATGGCACCTGTCTGAACTTGTTATCTGTATAAAAGATAGCCCAAATGTAGCCCAAAACGATATTTCAACCACTGATAATCTCCCTCGATCTGGGGCTCCACGCAAGATCTCATCCCGTGGGGTCAAAATGATCATGAGAACGGTGATCAAAAATCCCAGAACCACACGGGGGGACCTGGTGAATGACCTGCAGAGAGCTGGGACCAAAGTAACAAAGGTTACCATCAGTAACACACTACGACGACAGGGAATCAAATCCTGCAGTGCCAGACGTGTCCCCCTGCTGAAGCCAGTGCATGTCCAAGCCCGTCTGAAGTTTGCCAGAGAGCACATGGATGATACAGCAGAGGATTGGGAGAATGTCATGTGGACAGATGAAACCAAAGTAAAACTGTTTGGTATGAACTCAACTCGTCGTGTTTGGAGGAAGAAGAATACTATGTTGCATCCCAAGAACACCATACCTACTGTGAAGCATGGGGGTGGAAACATCATGCTTTGGGGTTGTTTTTCTGCTAAGAGGACAGGACGACTGATCCATGTTAAGGAAAGAATGAATGGGGCCATGTTCCAAAACCATCCATTCCATTGAGTTAAATTTCTGTGTTTGACCAAATACTTATTTTCCACCATAATTTACAAATAAATTCTTTACAAATCCTAAAATGGGAATTTCTGGATTTTTTTTCACATTCTGTTTCTCACAGTTGAAGTGTACCTATGATGAAAATTACAGACCAGTGTCATTGGGAGAACTTGCACAATTGGTGGCTGACTAAATACTTTTTTGCCCCACTGTAAATGTGAGTGGACTGACCGAGTTAATTACAGAGCACTGACTTTGGATAGAAGCGTTTGGAACTCACCAATTGTTTCTCGGCTCGGACCTTGTACTGGTTCGCTTCTTGTCTTCTTTGTAAATATTCGTTCCGCGCCGCAGCCACACTGGATAACATTGACAGTAACATAAAAATACAGTGGTATATCAGAGGCTGAAGTTATTTCAACCTGGAGAGACTACAAGAGACAAGATGCGTTTAAGAGTTCTTTATTTTATGGATTGAGTTTGTTTATCGGTTTGGAGCTTAGGCCCCCGGCTGTGGCCGTGCTCTGAAGAGATCTGGGTGCAGATCATGATCCCCCGGGGCCTAGACACTGGTGGTGGCAACAAGGTAAGGTGAAATGTGAGAGTGAAGAAATCCTGAAGCGGAGGTGGGGAGGAGATGGTGGCTTGATTGACACAGCTGGCAGGGCGTTGATGAGTTGATTATGACAGGCTGAGTAAGGCGTGGTCTAGCCTGGTGTAATAACGTAGGTAGTCTACATCCTGGACCTCCGCTTAAGCTTCATAAACTTACACATTGATGACTCTACAAAAAGTAAGCTTGAATTGCTCAAATATGAGAGATTATAATGGTATATATTCAGGGCTATTATTATGCAAAGGAGGTTAAATGTGGGGTACCTAACTTTCCAACTACAAAAAAGGACCATCACGAGTTCCTGACATTTGTCCACTGTCACTACTTTTGGCCCCTTAAAGAAAAAAGAATGCTACCCTTATATTCTTGCACTAGAGTGTATAACAGATACTAATGCATACATACCAGTATACATTTCTTGTAGACTATACACTATTTAGCTTTGCTTCTTTATTAAGCTTTTCTTTTTAAAGTATAGTGTTATTCACTTATCTTGTGTTGTGTGTTCCTCCCTCTGTTCTGTAACTTTTGATGCAACAGTGAAATTTACCCACTGTGGGACAAATTAAGGATATCTTATTCTTAACTAAATTAATTAAGGATGGGTCAAAAGCAGAGGACATATTTCTGCACACCGTCTGGTATGGTCAAGTTTTTTTTCTTGTAAAGGGGTCTTGAAGTGGTGACAGTATTCAAAAACATATGCATGATGTTGGCCAAGAAGAAAAGGACTTACAGACATGAGAATAATACTGCGGCTTTGGGAATCTAAACAACCTGACATTTTCTTTCAATATTTTGTTCTAGAATGCTTCTTTCAGAATCAGAATAATTTTTATTGCCATGTAAGTAACAGGAAGTCACAGACTAGGAAATTGTTTTGGCTTTCTCATGAAATACAATTCTGAACACAACCAAGTCGTAAGTCTAATCTGAGCGTCATGAGAATGCATGTGGAGTGGCTCACAGCTGGTGCGGCTCGGGACCCGGCTCGTCTCTATGTCTGAACTCCAAACCGTCGAGTTGAGCGTGAAAGTGACAGTATGGATCCCCGGCAGGCTGTTCCGGAACCCTACAACGACGAGGATGAACCATAGCACTCCTCTCGTCCATTCAGCAAAAACATGTGAAACAAGTTAAGTTGTAATTCTAACACTCACCGGGGTTTCTCTCGCAGGATATAGTCCACGTTGTATTGATCAGGCGGTTTGTGTTGAAGAGGCTTTGAACAATAAGAAATTACAGTTAAAATCTCTCTATAGAAGAGATTATGGACACGCACAGTCTCCTTGAAACACAGTCATTATTACAGTCATGTATCTTCAATGGTTTGTTAGAAGTGTTCTTATATTAGTCCTTGAATATACTAAGAGATGGGGAAATTTCAGTGTTGAATCACCAGTTACAGAACAGTAGGAATGAGGAGCACATGGCACAAGATAATAATATACTAATAATACTTAGTATGAATAATTAACTTTAGCATAATAAAGCAGCAGGTATAAAATATGTATCTTTAGCAAAATAAAGAAGCAAGTATAAAATACTGTATATTCTAGTGCAAGAATTATATAGTTGTATGTGTACATCTGTACATGTCAGCAGCATGAGGGTATGGGACAAAGTGTGGTTCTATAATACACATACTCATGCATCCTTCCCCAGAGTATTAAATGTGTGTTCTTCAGTGAAACTAGCAAGATACATGTTTTGTAATAAGATGAAGACGGATATTACTCTTATTTGTGCACAACATTTTACTTTTGACTATTTCTGTTTGACAAACAACATGAATTATATATGAAAGAAAAACAAGTGAGATCCGCACTTTGTGCTGTATTGGTTTCTGTCTCTGAGGGATTTTCCACTCCTCCTGTTTCTTCCCTTCTGCTCTGGGACTTTGCACTTTCTCTACAAACAAGATATGCACATTTAATTATACATCTGATTCCTGAAATGTATTTTGAAATCATTCAAAACTACTATGTACTAGTCAAAATTATATTAACAATACATTCGGATGTCCAATCTAAGATGTACCTTGTATTTGAGCAGGTCGGACTGAGGAGGGCGCTCTGTTTGGGGCTGAGATTGAGTGACCACTTGACTTGTCCTGTTAAAACACAATTCTGACGTTTATTGTGCCAGCAGGTTACATAATCAGAGGTGATTGCTGTTATTGGCGAGACAGAACATTTTTCATATACAGGAAGTATTTTCATCAAACTCAAGACACCAAAAAAAGAATAATATTAATGCATTTTTTTATACAACGCTTTTCAGGACACTGTAACGCTTCACATGCACTATTCATTCCATTCAAGGTGGTGATAAACTACTACTGCAGTGTGTGGACAAATGTAAGTATAATTCAAATACTCCTCTTGATTGTGCTTTGTGAAGAGTAAAGTTTTGAAATTTGAAACCAGAGCTACTCAGATCAGGTCAGATTTTTCAATGGGGAGCAGTGTTTCAGCAGTTTAGACACAAATCAATCCAGATCGAGGCTCGGGCTACACTTGTTCTTGGATCCCCATTTGGTCACTACTTTACTGACCTGTTGTTCCAGATGTCGGCTCAAATGCTTCTCCAAAAATGGGCGTTTGAGAACGGAGCTCACGGAGGGACGATCTCGAGGATTCACCTAAAACAGATATTAGTTATGGTTTTATGTTTCTTCAGTCATTCGTCAAAAACAAGAGGGCATGGCAAAAGTTGTATTATGTTTGTGATTTGATTCAAAATGTCAGATCACAAAACAATTGGCATGGAAAAAAATAAGTATTGAATAAAGTATTGTGAATGGAGAGATGGACAGATAGAGAATGTACAATAGGCATGATTATAATGAGTGAGTGAATGGATGGTGTTGGTTGGGGGCTTTAATGCAGCAATGTTTGGCATCTCGCTTCTGTCATCACCATGTGTGGAGAGAATGGAAAAATATGGCTTTAGCCTGAAAAAGTGGCTTATGGAAAATCAGAAATGTGAGCACTAAAACGGGATCTAGTATGGACAAATGGGGCCAGTAATTTTTTTTATTGATGTGTTGTTTTTTTTTTTCCTCTTTCTTAAACTTTTTTCTTCACTGTTCTCCAAAAGCCTAACCAGGGACGGAGGCTGCAAATTAGCCTTTGGCTAGAAGCTCTGTGTACTTGACATCGTTTACCTGTGGGTGACAATGTTTTTTTTTGTACTTTCCCCGTCAAATAAATAAATAAATAAATATCTGAACTCTGAACTTTGTAAAGTGACCTTGGTCGGTAAAATGTGCTATGTAAATAAAGATCACTTACTTATTAGAGTGAATACTAAAATCTTCTGCAAAATGGCCCCTGATTGTTGCTTTTCAAAATGTATTCAAGCACATAATACATATATTCCAACAACAATCCATAAATATAAATGTTGGAATTCATTGTATATCATTACTTAGTTGAATGAATGAATTAAATATTTATTTCAAAACCTGCACACATAATTTTACAAGAAACAAGAAAACAAAAGCAAAAACACGTACAGGGATTGAAAAGGGGTTGGAGGAAGAAAAATGCTTATATTAATCCAAACCCCCATATGTAACTCATATATATCTCTCTCAAACCTTGAACAGCTGCGTGAGGAGCAGCCGCAGGTCATAGGAGTACTGCTCTGGCACTGGATTGTAGCGTCCTCTGCAGATCTTATTGACTAACTGCCTCAGACTGCTGCCGTCAAACTGGAGAACAAAAAAAGCAAAAGATATAGGTACTGTAAGTAAAAACATGCATTCCTTAATGTTGTAGTGTTGAACAGTGGTAATTGTTCACAGCCAAAAAGATTAAATATGTTTAAATTTCCTTTAAACAAGAAGAATCAGTCCTGATGTTACTTACTGGATGTCGGAGCATACAGAGTTCATACAGGACGCAGCCTAAAGACCAGATATCTCTGTAAGAAATGCAAAAAAAGCTAATTTTTGAATTGAATATGATTTTTTCTTTCCCTTAAGTGGAACGCCATTTATAACACATTCTACTGTTTTGTCCGTCGGGCAAGACAATTCACATGAACTGGTTGCAGTGGTTGCTATATCGCTTTGCAACCAACCCATAGACTGTAGATGGACAATGCTAACCCGCTGGCTCAATGAAGCCCAAGAGGAAAGTTCTTTGGCTCCCGATACAACATGTATGGACATTGGTCTCTCCCTATGGACCAATACATATGTGTTCAATATTTTTTGTGTTTTAACTGTTGATTCTCTGATCTGTGTTGGTGATTTCAATGGTTTTGTTAAGTCCTCTGAGATTACTGCTGTTGTGATTCAGGGCTATACAAGAATAAATTTTATTGTATTGTATCGTATACTCAGTCTGTGGAAAAAACATTGACACTGAAATCTTACGTTTTGTTGTTGTAAGGGCGATTCTCACAGATCTCTGGAGATAAGTAGTAAGGGGTCCCCACACAGGTCCGAGCCAGCTCCATGGTGCTGCAAATTCAAACCACAATTAGACCTGAAATCTGTGGTTTTATGAATTAAACATTAACTTATGATTCACTTATTCATTAATCATCATTCATTTATGAATGCCACTTCATTCAAATACAGCACAAAAAAACAGATTATCAGTCAATTTACATATGGAGAGAAGTATGGTAACAGCACTGTTACCTGTCGCCTGTTCATTACTATTCAATAGCTGTCCTAAACCTGGCCTCTTTGACCTGCAACAGTGAATTGGTCCCCCTCGCCTGGAAGCCTCTTCAGTTCTAAACCGCACAGCCTCAGCCCTGGATCTAGATTTTCAGCCCTGGATCTACAGCCTCAGTCCTGGATTAACTGCCTCAGTCCCAGATCTACAGCCTCAGTCCTAGATCTTCAGCTTGTAAATTTTTGGGACATTTTTACATTTTAATATTTTCAAATTTTCAAAGGCTTGGCATACTGTATATCAATCTGCATGAGTCTATATCATGTATTGGTTTCACAATGTAAGTTGAATGAATAAAGAACTTTTGAAAAATAACTGTTTCACCAGTGTGATTTTCCTGAGTGCAAAAAATTGCACAAACTACAAAATTTATGAGCTTGTAGTAATCGTAAAATGAAAGTAAAACTCACTTATTCAACATTCTAGCGATGCCGAAGTCTCCGAGCTTCACTTTGGTGCCTCTACTGGTCAAAAAGATGTTCTGAGAGAATGAGAATGCACAGAGCAGGCTTGGTACTGTGGCTTTACTTTAATTTAAGTTTTGTGAATAAAAATGTTGCCTGTTGTCATCAGTTCTCTTTCTACAGCCTCAGTCCTGGATCGAAAGCCTCAGTCCTGGATCTTAAGCCTCAGTCCTGGTTCTAAAGCCTCAGTCCTGAATCGAAAGCTTCAGTCCTGGATCTACAGCCTCAGTCTTGGATCTACAGCCTCAGTCCTGTTTCTTTAGCCTGTCTGTTCGTGGGAGTGGATCCCTCCCTCTATGTGGGCCTCCCTGAGGTTTCTCACTTTTTTCACAATGGGTTTTTGAGTGGTTCCTTGCCGATGTGTGTGGTGGTCTAAATACAGAGAGTGTTATTTGTACTTGATGTTTGCACATTTAACATTCCTGGACAGAGGTTATCCTTATGGACCAGTTTTTGGACCAGTTTAGACCTGGTCCATGTTTTTTGTTATTACTGCTGTTGTGTTCAAACTAATATAAAAAATAAAAAATAAAAAATTCTATGCTATTTGAGTAGGGCAAAGTAGGGCAGGTGGAAATGGGGATTTTATGTCTCTCAGTTATGATAAAACCAAACCATTGGTATACTTGAGTTTTGATGTCTCGATGCAGAATCTTCTTGTCGTGTATGTGTTTGAGACCAAGACAGATCTGAACGAACCAGTTGCAAATCTACAAAACAACAGCTTTTAATCACAAGAGCAGATAAACCTCCACAAATGTTTGTGAGTTAAAAACCTGCTCTTCTGTGAAGGACACTCCTCTCTGCATGGTTATCCTCCTCATCAAATCTCCTCCGTCGCAATACTCCATCACTATGTACAAGGAGCCTTTCTCTGCAAAGATCATGGGTGTATTATATTACAGTATGTCTCCACATGGACAAGGGGCCACCCACACTGCCGCTTAAAATCCACATGGGCTGTAAGGAGACGATCCCGTAGAACTGGCGTGTCCTCCGCTGACAGGGAACCTACAGCTTTCACAAAGGTTGGATGGATGGTTTTCTATAAATACACACCTTTATGCAATAAACTATGCTTGCTCTCATCCTGGTCAGCAACACTCAGATTGGTCAAAACGCTCACACATTACTTTAGTCTTGCAGAAGTAGAATCACTGCACATATAATGCACATGTCACTTTTGCTAATGTTTGGGACGTCCATGGTGCGAGCATGAACCAATAAGCACAGGCCATTGATCTGAATGGGCAGACATCATGGAGACGAGACTCTTTGAAGGAAATATAATGACAAACACACTTTGAAGGAAATATATGTGGAAAAACACAGAAGTCAAACCTTGAAATGAGTTGATGAAAGCCACAATATTGACATGATGCATTTTGGAAAGCAGCGTCACCTCTTTTTTGGAAGCTTCCTTTTCTTTTGCCGACATCTGAATGGAAAATAAGTAATATTACAAACTAGTGGTGGTGGTAATTAAACTTGGGGACCTAGCTTTTCCCCCCAAAAAATAATATGTGTTTTATCTCAAGAGAAAGAGTATTGTAAAATGTTGTGAACAAATGAGACCTCAACATGTCTAGATATTAGAAAATATGTTATAGTTAGTAAGACTGACGAAGGCCAAAAATACATGTGATAGCTAGATACAGAAGCTAATGGTTTTCGAGCCAGGAACATGTGACATGGTTTTTACCACGTATCCCTGCTTCAATAACAGTATAAGTCATTCCATGAAATTGTCTTTTTGTGTATCAAAGAAATGAACGACTTGTCTTTATTTTTCTATTATGAATTTTTTATTTTGTGTTTAAAGTATTTATTTACAGTTAAATATAATGTGTTTATCTTTTTATTTTATTATATTCTTGCAGCAGTAGTAGTGGTAGAGGTAGCAGCAGCACTAGCAGTAGTGGGTAGTAGTAGTATGACAGAGCATGGTTTCGTTCTGACCTTTGTGTATTTCTAAATTGGATTGTACTTTTTGAGTCCAATTGTGTAAATAAAATGAAGAATTTGCAGAATGAAAACTTGCCTTCCTGAGGTTGATTTGTTTAACCACACACTGGGCCCTAGTGCCATCAGCTGCTGTTTTGTCCTGGACCAAGAAGGCCTTTCCAAACGCTCCCTCTCCGATCTGCCGGATGACATCATACTTGTTCATCCCACCTGCAGACTAACAACAAATATATTAATAATCAAGCTGAAATATTCATTCTGGGAAAAATTATAAAATATTATTATGTTAGAAGTAGGGATGCACCGAATCCAGGATTTGGATTCAGACTTTTGAATTTTTCCCCACCGAACCGAACCCTACACTATGCGCTCCACGCTGGTCTACGTCATGACGTCGCTGTTGATTATAGGAAGGTGTACGTAGTGGCCCGTTCGAATGCAGTAGTACAAGCTGTGTGAGTGAGAAAGTAAGAATGTAACTTGCGAGCAGAAAAAGTGTTGTTTGGCAGTACTTTCAGTCCAAAGAAGGTGATTCTAGTTGTTAGTTAGTCGTAGATGTTATTTACTTCATGAATGTGTTTTGGACTGAGGATGGAGTAGGATTCGGCAGAATCTTAACCAGTGGATTCGGTATTCGGCCGAACCCCAAAAATCTAGATTCGGTGCATCCCTAGTTAGAAGCAACTCAGTGCAGTGACCTCTGCAACTGTATTTTGCACTTGAGTTCAGGTGGTTAGATAATTCTATAAAGTGTGTGGTCAGGAGCTTTACAGCCTTAAAACATAACTGGTACTTCAAGGACTTTACTTATTCACTTTTTGAGGTGTTTTTTTTTTTTTTTAGAAAGTAACCCTATAGATAACGAGGGACCACTATTCTATTGATTATCATCTTTAATTAATCAGGTAATCTATTAACTGCTTTTACATTGTTAACTGCAAATGTAATATGGGTATGAGTATGATTCATGTTTAAAATAAGTCTATCAGGTAGGAACTTCATCTCTGAATCATAATGTTGCCTTTACAGCCGAGTGAGAAACTCGAAATTCTGTGGCTTGATATGCTGAAGTTCCTCATTGTAGTTTGAAGTAGTTATAAAAGTTAACCCATCTAGGCACCAGAAGGTAATCTAAGCTTTTTGATCATTCATTAATAAATATTTCCAATGTTCTATGGTGCTTCATCAGTGTCAAGATGTAATCGAGGGAAATTACCAACACTTATCGAAAATTAATTGATTTGAACAATAGACATGTTATAGGTTAGTAAAAAAAAGATTACTAAGCTATACATTTCTATTAGACAATATCTAAAAATAGCTAGTGAAATAATACAACGCTAACAAGTGTGAAAAAAAGACTCACTGAAATGTATTGTGTATTAGCTTTTTCACATGTTGAACTGAAAGTTGGTAGGAAGGTTTGCAAAGTAGCTAGCTAGGTTAGCTAGCTAACAAGCCAACAAAGTACAACAAAAGTCAAATTCCGACTGAAATGTATAATGACAAACAAAAATAATGACCATTATATCTCTGATATCTAATCAATTTAACGTGCTATTAATCCTTGATATTTAAAAATGCTGTAAAACACATACAGAATAGACATTTTTTAGGATAGTTAGTTTATGAACGCAGGATCTTAATGAACCCGTTGCCATGGAGACGAGCACACGCGGCGTTCCAGTTCCCCTCATATGAAGTTAGCTCGTTACCTCATTTAGCCTCAAAACTTGGGCTGAATCGCGTTAATTGTGTTTTAAACCAGCTTACCTTTGCGCGGAGAAAGCGGAGGTCATTGGAAAACGGCCGCAACTTATTAAAATGTATGCGAACGGTCAGGTGAAGAGGATGTAAAGGAAACGGGCGAGGGTGTTGTGGGAGTTGTAGTTTTAGTGGAAGGCTACGTGGAAGTCACAACATCAAAGTGCACACATGGATCTATTATGAGTGCACAACGTGGACAAAAATGCTAACCATTATTTTAACACGAATGTGGCAAAGGAAAACGATTTGAATTAAGATTATTATTATGATTGCATATTCTTTTCTATTTATATAAAGGTTCAAAAGTCAAAATGTATTGTAATTTTACGCTTATTCTGCCTGGACCATTTTCAGAATGAGAATCGGAATAATTTTTGAGTCTATTGTGATGCCCAGATACTTGTAATCTGAAACAATTTGCCATTTTTCAGCTGCAATAAAAACGTCTGAGCATTTCTCTGTGGTATGGGGCTTGGAGAAAAACATAGATGTTTTATTGATGTTGAGTTTTAAGCATGACTGATTTAACCAATTCGTAATAGATAGATAGATAGATACAAAAAATAAGATAAGATTTGGCATTTGGCAGAGATGCAAGAGACATAAGTGTACAAACATGTTGTCTGTGCAGGATATAATTATGTACAATAAAAAAGTGTAGCAACAGCAGTATGGGAAAGTGGTTTTCTTCTGAAGTCGATTACCGTCTCCTTGGTCTTACTGGTGTTCAAGCACAAGTGGTTGCGCTCACACCAGTCGACGAAGTTCATGATAACCGACAGGTATTCCAGTTCGTTCCCCTCAGACACACAGCCCACGAAGGCGGAGTCATCGAAGAACTTCTGCAGGTGTAGTGAGTGTCGTATGTGAAGTCCGAAGTGTATAGATGGTGAAGAGAAACAGTGAGAGGACAGTGCCCTGAGGGACCCCAGTACTGCAGACTATCAGACTTATCTCCAAGAGGTAGTCGATGGTCCATGCAGTGACAGTCCACTCCCGCGTCCTCCATCCGCAGCAGTGCCGGTCTAATGGTGTTGAAAGCACTGCAGAAGTCAAAAAACATGACCCACACAGCGCACCAGGTGGGAGAGCGTCCGCTGCAGCAAGTAGGTGAACTGCAGCGGGTCCTGGGTGGGGCTGACCACGGAGGGGAGATGGCTGAGGATAAGCCGCTCCATGGTCTTCATCAGGTGGGAGTTCAGTGCGACTGGTCTGTAGTGAGCCAGTTCCTTCGCGTGTGCTGTTTTAGGAACCGGGATCACAGAGGAGGTCTTCCACAGGACAGGGACCTTCTCCAGGCTGAGGCTCAGGTTGTAGATGTAGCTGAGGATCTTTAACAGATATTTAACAGCGCCCCCCTTTATTTCTTTATTTAAATGCAGGCATCTGAATGAGACAGAATGGCTTCTCCTCCACGTGGTCCCTGTATGTCGCCCTAGCTGTTGTCAGGTTACAACATATCTCCAAATAAAATGACAAAACAAAAACACAAATTGTGTTCAAAGTGTACAAATTAATTATCCTCCATCTAAACTCTTCCGGCTGTCTTATCTCTTGATACATAGAGGCAGTGGCGTTCCAAGGGTTCCCCAGGGCCCCAGGCAACAGAGTCCTTGGGGGCCCAATACCGACCACATGACCAGATTTGTTGGGTGTGCGGACTGGGTTGCCGAGGTCTCCGCCTTTGACTGCAGCCCAGTCCTCTCTGCACCGTTTCCCCACCACGGACCCCTCTGCGGGTGGTGGGCCCACAGGAGGGACTTCCCACGTCATCCCTTCGGGCTGAGCCCGGCCGGGCCCCGTGGGCCAGACGCTCGCTTTCGAGCCCCGACCCCAGGCCTGAACCAGGGTGGGGCCCTGGCTGCGCCATGCCGGGCAACGTTACTGTTTTTCTTATAGTCCTGTCGGGGCGCAGCCAGGGGCCAGAGGGGGTCCGGTTTGGGGACCACAGGATTCCATCTCTGCTGTTTGCGGACGATGTTGTCCTGTTGGCTCCAACAAACCAGGACCTGCATGCACTGGGACGGTTTGCAGCCGAGTGTGAAGCAGCTGGGATGAGAATCAGCACCTCCAAATCTGAGGCCATGGTGCTCGACCGGAAAAAGGTGCCTTTCCCTCTCCAGGTGGGTGGAGAGGTCCTTCCTCAAGTGGAGGAGTTCAAGTATCTCAGGGTCTTGTTCATGAGTGAGGGAAGGATGGAGCGCGAGATTGACAGGCGGATCGGTGCAGCGTGCGCAGTGATGCGGTCGCTGTATCGGACCGTCGTGGTAAAGAGGGAGCTGAGCCGAAAGGCAAAGCTCTCAAGTTGCCGGTCAATCCCGGGGAAGACCTAGGACACGCTAGAGCAGGGGTGGCCAACCCGCGGCTCGTGAGCCGCATGCGGCTCTTTGGCTGGTTCCGTGCGGCTCTCGGGCTTTCACTCGACAAGCGTCAAAAACGCCTCGGTGGTGGCGCTGCCTTTCATTCCATATGTAGTTCTGACCAATAGTAAAGGCCGACTTCACTCCACTAGACGGGCCGCCAAAACAATCTGACGTCGGCGAACGTCAATTCTGGTTGGTCAGATGCATTGTCAATCACTCTGCAGCTGCTACCTCAGCTGTAGCAAATATCATAACAAACAACACGTTGCCTCGAACCATGACGTCCGTACGGAAAAGAATTCCTTGGTCGCTGGATGAGGGCAACACCTTCCTCAGTTTGAGGAGAGGACACCAGCGTGATCTCGCTGGTTCCACCAGAAACCAGAAGGTGTTTGTGGAGGTAGCACTAAGGACGGAGCAGAATGATTCCCACAAACATGACAATGCAGAGAAAAGTTAAAAAGCTTAAAAGTGACAACCGTGAAATGAAAGATCGCAGCAGCAGAAGTAGAGGCAGACCCGAAAAGTCTGGAGGTGGTTTGACCAAATGGATTACATTTACGGACATCGGCTAACACCGGCTAACATGCTAAAACCAGCTAACAACAGCTAGCATTACACCAGGAGATAAGCCAACTCTGCCTGGTGAGTGTCTGTCTTCAATCAAATGCAAAAGTATCTGGTCTTATACTGAACATGTGTCTGTGGTTCTAAATCAGCTAAAGTGGTGTTGGTGTGATGTGTCAAATCTATATCTTTTACTAAAGACAGTTTTGTTTCTGCTGAACACTGGGTTGAAACTTGATTTTTTTTTCTTGGTTAGAGATTGCAAGCATTCATTTCGGAATCATAATTGATGTTCGCTGACGTGAAATTGTTCTGGTATCGACTCGCCCGGTTAGAACCAGGGCCAAACCATTAATAAAAAGTACCGGGGAGCGGTTGAAGCGAGCGGTGGAAGCGCCCGCAAACCGGGGAGAGTCGAGTCCAGCCCTTTAGTACTGTACGAGTCAATTTCTGTCATTATCATGTTGATGACATTTACAATAAATCTGTCTGAGCAGAGCACACCTCT